TATTTTGTATACATCCATTCACTAATTTCCACGGTTTACGATAATGTCCATAATGAACTTTAAAAACTTAATGAATTTTCTCAGCAGTACAAATTGACCCATATAATTTTGGCTCATTAAACGATGAGATGTATTCAGTGTTTGTGATTTCGCATCGAACTGCACCAGCCCTAAAGAAACAAGCAGGTTCAACCGGGTCAGTCAAGACAAACAATAATTTCAAAAACCGATATCCACTAATAATCGGCGAATTTGGCAAACATGAATAACAAAATTTTAGAAGGGAACTGGATTTCCTTCTGCCCCTATAATTAGTGTGCAACAGTGTATGATAGGATTAGCTAATACTTTCTTGGACTTTCCTCTGATGTAATACATCTTCTGTAGGTATATACCTGTTGCGATAAGTAGCTTTGTTATAATTATAACCGATTTAAAGTACGTCTTCGTGGACGTCATCATAGGTCATAGGATAATCGAAATTGTACGAGTATTCACGTTACAAGCAAGTGCTTGTTTAACAACAGGTTAGACTGGTAGGTTAAAATGAAGGTTTAATTACACTGATCATAAAAGTAATTTGGGAAATGCACATAATTCCGTCAAAGGATTGAAGTTATACGACTTTTTAGACCAGGAAATTGTGACAGATTTCATTGGACCATTGTGTTTGGGAATCTGTGATGCTTAAAGCGTGATCATCTCTTCGACAAGCGTCCCGGAAAAAAAATTAAATATTTTTGCTAACTTTACATAATTTTGGAGAAAAACTTTCACCGCAATAATAATAATCTCACTTGAAAATTATTTCCGCTTACCTTTAGGACATTTTTGCACTGGTGTTTCTGCCACTATACATCCAATAACCAGGAACAATACAAGACCATGAAATATCGAATGCATTTCTTCTTTTAAAAACTGTATGTCGACCTGGATCTGCCAAGGCGGTGAATAAACTGTGCCGTTAATGTTAAGACCGATACGAGTAACCGGTGATTATCTACTTATTACCAGCTGGTCACTCTCTCTTTAACAACTCGAAACGCACTCGATCTCCACACGTTTAAATCGCTGCTACTTCCGAATAAATATATGCTATTCGCTGTTGGCTGTTATTTTTGTATGTAAGCAATTGCGTAATAGAGGGGCATTGTATAAAAAAAACAGTTTTGAATTATAAACATGTTTAGTTTGGAATTTACAGAACAGTTTCTGTGTATTGAACTGCTTCAAGGTAAATAGTGATCGGAATTTTTACCGGGATCATCTTTGTCAATGTCACGGTGATGCTTTCCCAAAGTTAATTATTGGGTTTTCTAGATATCTAACCAGTTTTTGTTTTAATATTTTGAATGAAAGTGCCATAAAGTAATATGGGAGCAAATTCTTTGTTTCTTTATTGCCAGCACGATTATGGGACCGAAAGAGAAACATTTACTTTATTGCCTTGATACCTCCACGGCGAATTAGTGAGACAAATGGATTAGCCATTTCTCTCTAAGCGGTTATTCATTAAGTTTCTGAATTGATCAATGCAAAAGTAATTTCCTGTCAAAAAATCTAACAGAGGGATAGGTAGGTTGAAAGTTACAGTTTGAACTGAATAAACATACACAAACGAAGATTTTTAGTTGGAGTACTGCACTATACCAGATCAAGCGATACTTGAAGACAGCTAAAATCTTCCCCAGAACATCCAGCGTCGGACATTCGCCCCTTAGATTAATTTTTTATGTTCGGGTTCAAATGAAATACACAATATCTTCCCATTTTACGTGTAGTTGAAAGAATTTTTTTAATATTGCATCCCTATTAATTCTTCTAATTTAATTTTTTTTACTGAGTTTGAGTTTTAGCGAAGGGTGCTCTTGGGAAGACAGTTAATGCGATAAGTCAGGCCCATTTTTTGTCGCCTAGATTGAACAAGGTGATCTACTACTTATGTAGTTGTTACCATGGCCAAGTATCGAAGTCCGTTTGATTTTCATGACATCAAACGAACTCCTCCGCCGATCCGGTTGTCATCAAGGGATTGATTCTGTACAAAGGCAATTATGAGTATAATTAAGCATCAGGGTAAACAATTGGAAAGAGTAGAGATATCTACTAGAGCTCTCCACACGTATCTGTGTGCAACAAATTGAATGGAAAAAATGATATAGGCTTCATAGTGCAACCAATCGCTGCTCTGATTTGTGAAGACTTTGACCCATAATGAAGAGACCAGCCAATAAGAAAATATTGTCATGGAACCTTGTTATGTGTCGAGCTCGAGCAACGGAAAAGAATGTTCCTAAATAGGGAAATTACAGCACCAGTCACAAAAAATACCACAGACGGGCAGAGCAAACTCGCAAAAATGCGGCCAGTCTAGTTAAAGTAGGTACTCAACTTTGGAATATGGGCGGATGTCTTTGAAGCCTTGCTGCATAATGAGGCTAGTTTCGTGCAATTGGGATTTCAAGGGCGATTCTTCAAAGTGAACTAACCAGGGCCGTCGAGAGAGAGAGGGGCCACAACGCTCGGAGGGCTCCGGTCGGCATCATTGTAATACACAATATGATTGATATCCAGGTTTGATTATGTAATATAATCAGTTCTTTATGGTGCTAAATATCAATGACTTAGCGGAAGTGGAACTTATCAACTCCTACCACTCGAATAGGACAACTTTTTTATTTATGAAGATATTTAACTGAAACTTTATATGTAAACACTACGAATATAAGTAAAATTAACAACGTTTCCAAAATGTTGTTTTGCGCATGCGCAATGCCAACTTTCTTATTTATGAACATGAAGGCATTTAAATGAAATTTTTTGCGCGATCGGTCATTTCTGACTATTTACCATGGGTGTTTCCATGACAGTACGTAGAATTTACCAGTTGCTATGATTACGACGACGTCAAAATTACTTACCGATCTAAAAACAGAACAGCAAAAATACTTACCGACGCCTTTTTAAAAATCAACAGTCTTACATTACATTTAATCTTTAATTATTGTTAGGTACATTAAACGTACAATTTGTGCTGTTGTTTCCTATAGCAAGACGCTCATAAAGTCATAAAGGAAGTGCAAAGCTAGTAAACTACATCAGACACATGCACAATTTTATGAAATTATTAATTTCAATTTTGACATTTAAACTGGTTGCCTAGTGATGTACACCATACCACTTCGAACATTTCGATTTATTCTGCTCGTTAATTTCTTAGTGCATAGTTATATTGGTTGGATAATGTTAATTTCGATCGCGCAAAAAATGTTATAAGCACGTCGAACGTTAAGGGTTACCGTTCTCAGACAATAATTGGAGTCGTCGCTTCGCTCCTCCTCCAAACAATTGTCTTCGAACGGTAAAAATCCCTTACCGTTCTCCATACTTAATATACTATTGTACATAGGCATTTGACATAAAGGCAAATCTAACACCAGTTGCAAAATTTGGTTTTGCGCATGCACAATATCAACTTCCTTATTTACTGAAGCATTTAAATCAAATTTAATACAGAGGCGCTTAGAATACAAGCAATTGTAATTGTCATTTATGTTTGCATAATGACATTTTAAACTTGTTTCCTTTCTGTTCCATTAATGGTGGTGGTGGTGGGGGGAGGGGGGATACAGTTTCCTGCATTTGCATTTGTGTGTTTCGTTGCTTTCGTTTCCGCTTAGAGAAATTACTGTGTGTTTTAATTTTATTTGAGCATTCGCCAGTAGCCGGCCGCAGCTTACCCTATAGAATTCCTGGAGCTGCCGTGTACTCCGTTTTAATTTTCCCGACGTACCCGAGATTTATCCGCCAAACCATTCCTCCTACACCAACTTTGACCAGGGGCAAGGTGGCAACATCTCCCGGAAGTACGAGGAACACCTCCACCTCTAACACCTGTATCTAGTACCTACTGGAATTGCTGCAGCAGCATACACTGCGACTCGCCGTAGAGAAATGTACCTACATTCGGGGTACAATCCGTCCGTTACCTAGGATCGAAGCAGATGGCAACAGACAGACATTTTACACTACAAACGGACAGCACAACCGCAGCCAGATGATAGAAACAAGCTGACGATGTGGGCCTTGCGGCTGCAGGAATATTTTTCCGACGTGGTACCACTTATTACAGTAGATAGAGGGCCACCCATGCGAGACAGTCCCATAACAGTGAGGTCCAAGCGCCCGTGTCCGAGACGCGCTTTTGGTTAGGTGTCAACGACGTCGAAATTTGGTGTCTGACCTTCGACCAGTTCGATTCAATTCTGTTTGTCGACGGAAACAGGTCTGATTACCAAAAACAGGTTAGTTAAACAGAAACAGGTCTCTTCATTAAAGTCAGATCTATTCCCTAGAAACAGCTCTCTTCAGTATAAATATGTCCGTTTAACAGAATCAGGTTCGTTTAATAAACAAGCCTGTTTCCGCCATGGGACTGTCTCGCATGGGTGGCCCCCTATCTACTTATTACGTAACCCCTCCAAGCAGCCAGCCGAGGACACCACAGCAAAGGACACTAACTGCCTACTATGCCCTCAACTACAACCAAGCAACAGAACCAACGACTAAACACCTACGATCATCTCTGTACAAATTGCCGAACTAACCAGCCGTTTTTAAAACAGCCAAAAGGACAAATCTATTTCCCAGAGAATATACTATTTAAAGTGTTCTGAGTTCTTCTTTAAACCATTTTGATGCACCTATTTAACTACAATCACCTCATAAGTATGTTGGTTGCCATCTTCTTTAAAAGACTTGGGTCGTAAGAATTACAAAAACAAGTATTTTTTCTAAATAAACCGAAAATCCAAAATGTTTCTTTTGGGAGATGTGTTCAAACATCCCAATCTTAGATTAACGTTTCTTCTTTACTTTTCTCTACGAGGAAGAAGAAAGTATCGGCTTTACCTGCATGGCCTTTCCGATTTAAAAAAAAATTCCTAACAACCTAACTAGCGCAATAAGTAAATTGAACTTGGGAAACTTTAGTCAAGAAATTGAAAACAAATTATATTTTAATTTTACATATTTACAAAAACTTTATCATGTCACCAATAATTTACATTGATTAACATACCTACTACACCCAGCTACAAAAACATTATCTCTAATATCACTTTAATTATAGGATAGTGTTAATGCTAAATTATAATTTAAAACAAAACCATTATCACGAACTCGTGACATACTTAACTCACTATTGACGCAGGAACTTCGAAACACATAACATAGTTTCCATCGTCAGCTTTTAAACCCCAATGGACTCGCAGCTTAATCTGGAACGCAAACAAAAGAATTATCATTAAGTGTTTTTAGGTAACTATTTTTTTTAATTTTTTTGGTGTAATAAGTAATCATGCCAACTGCTCATGTATTCTGTAACCGCGCTTAATTGATCACCGTCGACCATGAAATTAACGTCGGTGTTTATACTTTGGAATCAATTAATCTTTAAATGACACTTTTGCACTATTATGATCAAGCCAACCGTAAATTTCCCACATCGCAAATGATGAGGAACTACAGTTCCCCTCATCAATCGATTAAGTCGATGAAACAACAGTAATTAGAGTCTAATATTTACCAAAGGATAAATTTCCAAAATTTTTATTGGTGATCTGTAGACGTATTCTTGTCCAGCCACCAGCTTGCAACCCGACTTCGTTCTACCATCACTTTCGTAAATGTTATCGCATGCTGGAGTGTTGTCCACCCCAATGAAAGGGAATGGAAGTCCTGCAATGTAGGCGCTCACTTCGTTCGTTAAAGATTTAACGTTGCGATCTGAAAACAATTTCGAAATAAATATAATAAGGTGGCAGTAATGAAGCGTTTACCTGATGTGAATCTGAATTCTATCACTACCAAGCGGCCCTTTTTCAGTCGACAAGAGGATTTCTTGCAGTTTCCAATTTTTGCGGTTAGTTTATAATCTTCAAGGGATTTTCCTAAAATAAGATAATTGTAAAAGTAAGTAAAATATTCTATAAAGTAAAAAGATTTATATTGAACTAAAAGCCAACCCTATAAAGATACTTGTGGAGAATCAGTGCAAAGGGATGATTCGCATCGCTATGCTATTTCTACTATGCAATGCAACGATGCAATCAAAAATGAGTTGTTGTCGAGGCCCTTTTGGAATTTTTGTTGACATGGAACTTCCAAAGGCGATTCGACCGCCACTCATTTTTGATCGCATAACCGCAACCATACTTGCAGTAGTGAAATGTAAGTCATGGGTCATTATGGTTTGTTTAGTCATTGAAAGGAATAAAAATTTGCTTTATCTGACGCATTTTCTGGCTTTGTTTAGAGTAAAACATTTAGACTAAACAATGTGTATTTCCCTATCGGTCTCGTAACAACGGCAAGTTGTATGGATGTCCTTGTAGCCCAAAAATTTTACTCAGGAAGTTCGAGCATATTTTTTAAGTGTTACAATGAAAGACTTAATCCAAATTTGATCAATCTCTTTTCCTTATGGACCCCGTAAATAAAAAAAGTACAGGATGTAAATCCTCGTAGACATTCTCAAATTGTCTGTACTTTAAGTTGCTTTAAAAGAGCCTGAGGGTCCTCGCAAGTATCAATTTTCAGACAACCCCATCATAGTAAAAAAAAAGCTTCCATGCCACCACTTTTAGCATATTCGAATAGACTTGGGGATATCGCCGATACATTTTTGGGGAAGCAACAATAAAACGAGTGTTTTATTCGTAACCATTTTTGTTGCCCATCCAACAATTGCAGTTGGAACTTGAGTTTCACAAAGTGTAGCTTTTTAATCTTCAGTTGCATGGTAACAAACACATTACATTGCTTTGATGCATAGAAACTACATTTTGTGCTCTTCCTATCAGATCTTTGTAATTTTCGCTTATACATAGCGATCAAAAATGAGTGACCGTCTAGTCACTTTTGGAATTTTTGTTTACATGGGAAATCCTACTTAACTTGAACTTTCAAAGGCGACTCGACAGTCACTCATTCTTGATCGCCCGTTATTTCCATTGCCTTGATCATTAGGAGCACATCAAATGCAACGAATCATTTTTATGAAGATAACATGATGCTGATGTTTCTAGTGTAAAACTGAAACAAAGTATTGTCCCTTAGCAATTTTTATTGAAATATGTTCGTATCTTATACCTAGGAGACAATACTTTGTTTCAGTTTTTCAGTAGATATATCATCGTCGCCTTATTTCCATAAAAGTGATTTTTTCTATTTGGTGTCTTTGCTGAGGGGGCGTACACGAATTTGAAAGTGGTACCTATAAGTTAGAGGACCACTATACGAACTTATTTCAATAAACATTTCTAACGTGTTTTTCTCTGTTTGAACATTTTCCTTAACATTCGAAATATACTCTCGTTTATTGAAATTCTGTTTGCTCTCATGTAAATTTAGTCTCATTATGCCTTCTAGGTATCTTCTTTGTAATCCACTAGTTTAAATTAGTTATTCGTGTTGTAGTAGAGTTCTTTTACATTGGTTCTTTGTTATAGATTTCTTATTCCTATAGGTATTAGTGTCGCCGACCGAGGTCGTGCAGTGTTTTCCATGGTATTTCTAATGCTATTCCTTCTCCTTTACTTTTATCTTGCCCACGAAGTTGTATTTCTTTTCCCCTTTAGTGAAGCTTCTGCCGTCGAATTGATTAGATGCAAATTGCTATAGTTATATTCGCTGTAGCTTTCCCGGTATGTCTTTAGCGCTTAATTTTTGAAGACATATCCTTACATCGTTCTTGCCCTTTTCTAAATTATCATCATTCTCACCTTAAATGTTGGGCATTTCCGAACGCCCCGAGCAATTCTCGGGTAAACAAGGCTATTAACCATTGTGATATAATGAATTTGAACCATACAGTTTACAAGTGGGAATTCCCAATTGCAAAACGGCAAAGCTACCAGCGAATATACTATATTTCGCAATACTTTATGCGCAGCGCGATTCACTAACCCTTTTATTTGTTTGTTTGTGTTGTTGTATGTTACAGATTTGCAAAACGCGCCCTTCTGAATTCAGACTGCCGCTATAGTCCAAGACCCAGTAGGAAAGTATACTTTGAACGCCCGGACGATTCTAATCATTCTCATTGGATTCGCCATAAAAAAATGTATTAGAATCGACAACGGTGCCGGCGAAAATCCTGCCGAAAGCAGTTAAAAAAAAATTAAATTCGCCCCTTACTTTTGGAAAATCTACTTTATTGTCCCGGACGTTCAGGAATAGTACTAAAGGGTGCATATGGATGAGTTTTATCGGAAAGTCACGGTGCCGAGGCGCAACTTGCCGCAACCCTTGGCACCGCCACTACAAATGGGGTGGTAAATCGTACTAAACTACCTTTTTCTCCCGGACCAAAATGACCTATATGAAATATGTAGCTTGCGATTATACGAATATAAAAAACCAACGGTGCCGACTCTCAGGATGCCGGAAGTCCTCGGCACCGTCGATGGAATCCGGGCGCGCGCGAACCTCTTGAAATTGCGAAAATTGAAAAATTGCAAGTATTCACGTCACTTAAGTACGTATTCGGTGAAAAAATATAACAGCGTGGATACCGCGAGATCAAATATATTCCACAAAATTTTCTCGACGAGAAAAGATTCTGAGAAACTCGTCAAGAAAATCAGAGGATTTGATACGTGTACCATTTCACCTTGTAGTAAGTGGCTGAAACTTGGTTTAAGACGTTTGAAAATATGTATATTTCAAGGAACCGAGGAGTCCCTAACCACAAGGGGTGGTTAGTGTCAATAGGCTCGCGCGCGCCCGGTTTCCATCGACGGTGCCGAGGACTTCCGGCATCCTGAGAGTCGGCACCGTTGTTTTTAGCGTAACACAACGAAGTTGAGGTAAAGCTTATGTGCTCGTGTTTCCGTCCGTCCGTCCGTCCGTCCGTCCGTTCCATCGAAATCTCGGCCCCTGGGCCACCTAGAGACTTCGGGTTTTCGCTAATTGAAAGCTGTTATGGTCTATATTTGCCCATTTCGATCAGTTTCATTTAACTCCATATTTTGCGTAGACTGCGCAATGCCAACTTTCTTATTTATGGAGATATTTCTTTGAAATTTTAACCACATGCGCTTCTAGTAAAGGCAAACATTTTGCACATAGTAAAAATTATGTGGGCATGCGCAGTGACTGCGCAATGCTAACTTTCTTATTTATGGAGATATTTCTTTGAAATTTTAACCACAGATGCTTCTAGTAAAGGCAATCATTTCGCACATGGTAAAAATTATGTGGACATGCGCAGTGATTGCACAGACTGCTCATAGACAACTTTCGTATGTTTGGTAAGTTTTTTGAAACATTATTTTACTTATTTAACCCCTCTCTTTCTCTGGACGTGAACGTACTTCAATATGCAGATTCGACATTTTGTGTGCTTTCGATGACGATGCATCGTTTCAATACTTTGTGTTACGCGGCAATACCCACGAGTGGGTTTTGGAACATTTTTTTATATTCGTATAATCGCAAGCTACATATTTCATATAGGTCATTTTGGTCCGGGACAAAAAGGTAGTTTAGTACGATTTACCACCCCATTTGTAGTCGCGGTGCCAAGGGTTGCGGCAAGTTGCGCCCCGGCACCGTGACTTTTTCCGATCAAACTCATCCATATGCACCCTTTAGTACTCTTCCTGAACGTCCGGGACAATAAAGTACATTTTCCAAAAATAAGGGGCGAATTTAATTTTTTTTTAATTGCTTTCGGCAGGATTTTCGTCGGCACCGTTGTCGATTCTAATACAACTTTTTATGGCGAATCCAATGAAAATGATTAGAATCGTCCGGGCGTTCAAGGTATACTTTACTACTGAGCTCTTGGACTACTAGGACCAGAGTTCAAAGGTAAATTTTGTTATTTTCGTCGATTCCTTGATTAACATTTGATTGCATATTGGTTTTCGATACAATCGAGTTGTAATTGTTGCATTTGATTGAGATTCATTTAACTAGGTATTATAGCTACGTTGTTTCTGTGGAGGCCTGTTTTGATATTAATATTTTCTCTGACTAGGTGTTGATCTCCCTTTTTACGAAAAATTAATTTAATATTACAGTGACCTATTTGTAATATTTTTGAGATCATTTGATTAAATCATCAATTGTGACATCAATTATTGTTTATGTTCTTTTCCTATCAAATATTTTATTTCCTAGCTTATCAAGATCAGAACAAAGATCTCTTAGTCTGCCTTGTTTCTCCCTTTTGGTAAGTATTCTCCCCGCTCTTTTGATATTTACTGAGGACTAAGTGGCGTCGATCCGGATCTGTGCTATTAATACATTTCCCTTTTGCTTTATCTTTGCTTGTATATAAGGACATCCATATTTACACCGCCCCATCTCTAATTTGACTAAGCTTATCGTGTCTCAAGATAATTTTGTTACATTTTCCCAAAGTAAACGCTAGGGGACAATACATTGTTTCAATTTTACAGTAGAAGCATCATGGTCACGTTATTTCCATAAAAAAGACTTTTTGTATTTGGCGTATTTGCTGAATTTGAAAGTGGTATTAGTTAAGAGGACCACTATACGAGACAAATCTAGAAGAAAAAGAATTGATTACTATTTCAGGAAAAGTTACTGTCGCAAGAAACATTTCTGCCAGAAACAGTTCCCAATCCTAGCAACAAAAATAATTGCTAGAAATAGTTGCTACCATAAAGTACAAAAATTGTGATTTGGGTTATTCAACTCGACATGTGCCCATACAGCAGATTTCTCGTAATTTCTATGTTTCATTGTTTTATCATCAATTGAGATCTTAGTTTGGACGTTTCTGCCATTTTGTATTCGTCGAAAAATTGAGTTGCTGAAATAATTTTTCAAAATAATTTTTGAGAAAAAGGGTGTGAACTCTAGTGTGAACTAATTATCACCAAATAGGAAGGGGATAGTCTGAAAAGTTTTTGAGGGCATTCGGTCTAAAGGAAGGTTTTGCGGTAAAATGTGTAGCCAAAAGAAAATATTTCGCCGGCAAGAGATTAAAGGGGATATTTAAATTTAAGCGCAAAAAAATTATCTCTGCCAGTAAAAGAAGAATAGACGTTAAATTTGTGGGTTTAGTTGTTGAAATAAATAAAGTCGAGGGCGAATTGATCAAATGTGCAGTATTGAAGTTGTTCGGTGGCTACAACGGAGCTATTGTGGTGGTATGTTAAAATAACATTAAAGGTATTGACCTTCTAATTTCGAGTTTATAACGATCTTAAGCATGCGTATCGGAAAAACATCCATAAAAGTAGTCTCCTGTGTGTCTGGAAATTTCTGAATTTATTAATCAATTATTGCGGATACTTTTAGGAAAGCATTATGTGTAATAAAACATAATAAGTTTTGTAATCTCAAAGCTTATTCAATCTCCAAACTGTTATGTGATATAGGTCAGATCTAGTTAGTAAAACAAGTATTCTTTGGTAAAACTTAACTGTCAGATAATGTTAAAAAAAGAGCAACGCTTATACGTCGCGACAAGGGAGGAAACTGCAAAACGTGCAAACAAAAATTAGTTGAATTTTAGTTAGGATAACTATTGCTCTTTTAGTGTAACTACAGTCACGTCAATCATCGCAGGTTGCCGCCCACTGCAAAACTGGTTGCTTGTGAGGTGTACACAAATTATGCTGTTCTATTTCCATCTCTATCTATCCCATGCGAAAAAAAAGATATACCTACGTTTTGCAGTGGTCGGCTACCTGCGCCTGTTTTTATACTAGACGACGTACGTATAGATCCCAGAGTCGCGCTACGTCAACAGCGATGGAATTAATTATACGTATACTCTTTGGGACTTTAGATGTTTTCAATCACTCCACTGGAACCTAGAAGGGCCCTGAAATCGCTAGCCTTCCCAGGTCGGAAAAATACGTTATCAAAATTATATGAAAGTTGGAAATGCCCTTACAAATAATTGAATTTTTGAAACTAGCACTACCTTAAGTTATGAAACATACATTTCACCAAGTCAGAATTCGCTAAACCACTACTACAAGTTATTCAATTACCCACCTGCTACACGACGTGACCTTTAAAATTAACATCAACAGCCAACATCGACAGTAGTTTAGGTAGTCTAAGTATGAAATGGGGGATTTGTTGATTAAGATGAAAGTGATGCTTATATTACTCCTATTATGTTTTACGCTTGTAAAAGAATGGTCTAGAATAGTACGTTATTATTGCCGTGAAAGGATATTATTTTTCGCGGAATGTCACAGGCAAATGAAACGGGAGCGTTCCACGGGATGCCCCCCCCCCCCATTAAACAGAAATTAATGTATGTGAATGATAAAATCCAATCTTCGCTTAAAAAGTTGGCTTAAGAATGTATGATCAAAGACATTACAATTAATTGTAGGTTTATGGAAGTACTTTCGAACTTTTAAAGCACAGAATACATGGCGCACCATATTTGTCATTACTTTAATTATGTTCGGATAACTAAATCATAGGGAGATGACGAAAGATGAGGAAAAAATACACTGTACCTAAAGCGATCAAAAATTTTTAAAAAAATGCGCCACAGTTCGAGTTCTCTCAATAAAGTAGAACTAGGCAATGGTTTTGATTCTAAATTTAACTGGTGGGAACTCACCCATTTGTTTTCTAATAGATCATTAACCATGTGTTGCTATACGAATTAACGCCATGTTAAGATATGATAGACAGTAAGTAAAATCACTGTGACTTTATTGGAATCTTCACTTTCTAACATTTTTGAAAACAATTTTTGTCCGTTGTATACCGTGGCTACACGCTACGGGATGCACAATCCAAATTTAATAGAAAAATAAGAACGTCTTCCAAGTTTTTTGGAAAAGCGCTAAAATGTGACAATGCCAAGGGATCGAGTTTTCTAATCTCGTTTTAGCATCAACTGAAACCACACAATTGAAAAACAATGCTTTTGATATAGATTATTTCATGGAATACTTATGCCACAAAAAACATGCCAATTCAGAACTCTGAATAACCTTGCAGAAAATGTGAGATTTATGTTTATAAGTGACTTTTACACTGTTATAGTACTTTATATTGTGCAAAGGAACATACTTGCATAATTAAAAATAGGTAAATAAACATTTTTTCCATAAGCATATTTTTGCAAAAATGATCGTTTGACTATTGGACTGCTAAGGACGAGACAGCCGTAAGTACACATGCAAAAGTCAAAAGGAAAAATTTGCTTTTACCAAGTCAGCCATTCTTTATTCAAAAGGTCTCACCTCGTCCAACAAAATCACTCACAAAGCTCTTCCGTTGTACCGCATTAGGGTTAAACACTATCTAAAATTAAAAGAAAAGGTATTTTACCTGTTGGACATTTCTCCACGGGCGTAAGCGCATTTACACAAACCACCGTACACAAGAACAGAAAACCGAAGGCAATCTGCATTTCGACTTCAATAGCTGTTTTGCAATATCACTTGAGCAAGAATTTCGAAATGAAATTGCGGACGGTTGCGAGCAATTCTCACGTAACTTGTTTTGCGAATTTGTGCGTTTTTCGGGAAACGGCAGTTCTTTAATAAACGTTTTCCCACCACCCATTATTGAAAATCCTTGGCCATGACTATTATTTCGCACTCAACCTTTGCGTCACCGAAATTAATTTAAATTCGGAAGTTGTTGCTGTGAATTAGTACATGTAGTGCTTACATGAAATTTAATTTCTCGACTGTGTCGTGCACTTGATGCTGGTTTGCTTGACCATTTACAGCGACATGACAAGGTTCCACTTAATATTGTTCATCTCATGCGAATAGCTAATTAAGTTCTTTGCGGAACTGTCTATGTACGGATGTTTAATTGTCCTTCCGAGTAAATTGTATGTATTCGCAGTGCATTGCTAATTGCACGAAATGTATAGCAACATAAAGTTTTATAGCGCAATATCTCAGTTTGTTAGTTATTATAGTCCGGTGCTCACTTAGCAGGGTGTTTTTTTATAGAACACTGTGACAGTTGATTCTCCGAATTTACTTGTTAATGTTAATCATAAATATGCCTGGTTCATAGTGTTTAAACAATTAAAAAGATCCGAACACAAACAGGTCACTCCTGACATAATGCGTAATTGCACTTTGACTTTTGGCATATTTGATAAGATCTTTGGGGAATGAACTTCAAATCTCATTTTTTGGATTTGTTGGTGGGGTTCCAAGGTCAGGGGTTCAGTTCTGTTCAGATATTCTAATCCACGATCCTAGGATTGGTTGGACGCAGTCCTCTGTCCATTTCTATTCTGCGCCAATCTTCTCATTTCTACATAACTGCCCTTGCCTACGTCGCCAACTATTTGGTCTACCTTTCTGAGCTACTTTCTATAGCTAGCTGTGCTAATCCTCCCTATCATTCTATCTCGTCTGCTCTGTACGGTTTTCCACATTTCCCTATCTTGTTGTACTACCTCTAAGCATATCAAATGCTTTTATCCTACTTCTATCTTCCTTGTCTATGGGCCAGGTTTCGCATCCGTATAGAGCTACACTCCATTTACAGGGTGTCAATTTTAAAACTTGCAGTCGGCCATGAGTGTTTAAATCTGTGCCCATATTTTCCAAACTAAAGAAGATATTGAAAATCGCGCAAAACCGTTTCGGGGGTATCGAGGGGAAACCAGAATGACGTTATGGGTGACAACCCCCCCCCCAGCCCCCCTCTTCAAAAATCCTAAATGGCAACCCCATACTTGTGACACATCGTTGGAAAGCTACTGAAAAATGCTTTCCAGTGGTACCAATAAAGTCGATATTCATTAAAACAATTTAACAAAAAATTAATAATTAACAAAAAGAAATAAAAATTAAGCCATGCCTATGTTCAAGATTTGGTCGCTAAATTCGAAGAAACGTGATCTATTATCAATAAAAAAAGAAAGCAACCAAGATTGCTTAATGAAACAGCTCAGGTAGAAGTTCTTGGCCAATTTGCCATAAATCCCTCAATGTCAACATTTAGTTTTTTTTGTTCGTTATTAAATTTTTGTTAAATTGTCTTTAATGAATATTGACTTTATTGGTACCACTGGAAAGCATTTTTCAGTAGCTTTCCAACGATGTGTCACAAGTATGGGGTTGCCATTTAGAATTTTTGAAGAGGGGGGCTGGGGGATTAAGGGGCGTGGAGATTTGTCACTTATAACGTCATTCTGGTTCCCCCTCGATACCCCCGAAACGGTTTTCCGCGATTTTCAATACCTTCTTTAGTTTGAAAAATATGGCCGACTGCAAGTTTTAAAATTGACACCCCGTATACGTTTTTAGCAGCATTCTCCTAATTCCTATATATTTATCGCAAAACTGGTCCCGCTTTTCCTCAAATGCTTTTTTAGCCTGCCTATCCTAGATTTTATATCTTCCTTACTATATACGATTATCTTGTGTAACCTTACTACCTAAATAACATAATTACTTTACATGTATCGTTCCCTATTCGAATCTTTATCTTTTTCCTATGCTTTCTTTTCACGTATTTCATTACTTTTGTTTTTTCCTTGTTGATTTTCATACTACATATAGTCTCTAGATAGTATTTCCTCCACCCCGCATAATCCTGTTTCTAGATCCCTATTCCGTTCTGCTAGAATAGAACTATGTCATCCGCCAAAGCCGGACTGGGCCATCGGGCGATTGGACCGGTGCTAGATCGAGACCCGGGGCCGCGGTCTTGAACCTCAGGAAACCAACCGTGTCAGATCTGGGAAGCAGGGCGGTAGATTCCCAGAAGGGCAGCTCAGTCGGAACGTTTGGGTTGTGAGTTTTGTTGAAATTCGGGAATTCACTTTGTACCTACCGATTGTCCAATTAGAAGGCGGGTAAATTCTCTATTTAGCCATCTAATAAAGTACCGAGTCATTTTTAATTTTAGAACTTCTTTATTTCTGATTTGATTTATTTTACTCACTTAAGGTTAAGGTTCTCTTATAATGGTAGGCCTGGTGAGGCCCAAAACGAGGAAAAAGAGAAAAAATGAAACATAATTAATTTTAATTTTTTGTACAGAATCTTAAATAAATAACTTATTAAAGAAATATTACAAGATTAATAATATTAACAATTTTGTTGAAATATATTAATAATTTCCAAATAATAATGTAAAATATACACTTTGGCACATATTACTTATTGTGTTCCATGTGAAATTTATTTTTTGTATTTATTTATTATCCCTTTCTTGTTATGGGCCCTCTACAGGCTTTCGCCCAATTACAGAGTGGCCCGCATAATGCTTTTTAGAGGTGCCCCTGCAGAAGGTCTTAAGTTGTTCTATACTACTCCGGTATTTACCTTACGAACTGCAGGAAAACCTAACTCGGACCTAACTCAGAATGCTCGAAACTGATCTAAGGAAATTTCCATCTTTGCCACAGATTCACCTCAACTCAGGTTCGAACACCCGCCCTCTCGGCTGTGTAGCCCAACTTTCAATGATTTAAATGATACACGCCCTAATGAAATACTCAACATACGCTTGCCTCCAACCCAAACCGGTAACATCGATTATACAGGCTGATTCAAATTCGTGGCCCACAATGGGGATCTCGGGAAGAGAGGAGATAGGTAGATAGTTTAAACTTGGCAAAGTTGCGCATTTTTTCATTCGACCTGGGGCGAGCCGCAGTCACGTTGCGATCGCGGTCCGGGTATTTCTATTTAAGGAAGAAATATTTTTCTGCCAGACTTTTTTGGGGCACCCTGTATACCTACAAAATATGCGCAATCAAAAAACAAAATGGACGGGTCAGAGCGTATTCCCGAACACGCCTGACGCCTCCATTTCATTTTTAGCGTAAATCAGACCTTCCAAGCACATTCATTTCATCAAACTGTGAATGTAAACTCCTGCAAACAGACCAAGTTCGAACGTGGAAGTAGGCACCGCGCTAAGTTTGCTGCGTTCCCGGTGCGGAGCGAAGAGTTTTAATATAACGAAGTTGCGGTAACGCTTATATGCTCAATCTGTCAGTCTGTCTGTGTGTCGTCTGTCTGTATGTGTGTCGTCTGTCTGTCTGTTCCTTCGAGATCAACATTACTACCGACTTCAAGTCGATACCTGGAGATGTACCTATTTGTTCCGGAATCGTAACTGCAAATATACTGGGTGTCAATTTTAAAACTTGCAGTTGGCCATATTTTCTAAACTAAAGAAGATATTGAAAATCGCACAAAACCGTTTCGGGGTCATCGAGGGGGAACCAGAATGACGTTATGAGTGACAACCCCCCTAACCCCCCAGCCCCCCTCTTCAAAAATCCTAAATGGCAACCCCATACTTGTGACACATCGTTGGAAAGCTACTGAAAAATGCTTTCCAGTGGTACCTATAAAGTCAATATTCATTAAGACAATTTAACAAAAATTTAATAATTAACAAAAAAAAACTAAATGTTGACATTGAGGGATTTATGGCAAATTGGCTGTACTGTAAATCAGAACGAAAGCAACCAAGATAATAACAAAGATAGCCATACTTAATTTAAGACACCCTGTATAGAATTGGTTTACGAACAATAGGTATTTCAGTGGTAATTCTTTATATTAAAATATTTTCTCCCCTAATTATTGTCTAGCAGTTGTAAATAATTTTGTAGATTGTAAAATTGTGCGTCTACTCATGTACCCATTTGTTTTTTTTTGTTGTGGGAAATCCGAGAAATTAAGGAAATTATAAATTAGCATTTTAGTAAAAATCACTCGTGCCGTGAAATTAGTGAAACACAAAATTTGGTTTTATCGCAAATACTAAATTCTAATTTATTTATTTTTTTTCGGTTTGTCGAATTGACAAATAATGTAGACATGAGCAAACGCAGAATTTTTCAAGCTACAATAAACCGATTTACAACTTTGTCTTAAATTAATTAATGGCGAAAATATTTCGATATAAAGACCGCAGAGCATTGAAATTCCTATGGTGCGTAAACCTTTTTTACACCCTGTATATGATCGTCTTGACCGCTTAAAATCGGCATAGTGATGACGCTGGATCCGTCGAAACTGATCGCTATAGAAATAAATCAAATCAATTCTAATTTTAACTAGAAATGTATAAAACAGAGTATTTCCTCAAAATATTTGCTCTTTCACTTGTTTACCGCAGAATATAAAAATAACACTCTTGTACATACATTGACTCTGATTCATAAGTTTCGCAAAGAGGCAACGAATTCCCACCATTGTGGCACATTAAAATAAATACCATCAACAATCAACATTACACTACACTTTTCCAGGAAATAGTAGCTTTACATTTATTTCAACGCGTATTTGCAAAATGTTGGAGGTTAAATGGGCATGTTTGTGCCAATATCGACTGTGATGGGGCGCTCCGTTATTTTTTCAACACTTTAGACAGCATAGCCATAGATAGTTATGATAATGATGTTTTATTGAGTTGAGTGGTTTCTGCCCATTCGATAAAGTGAGTACCTATTGTGGAAAGGAACAGCTATCAATTCCCTATGACGTAGGATTAAACTATGCACGTCAGTTTTAAATCTGGGGTTCAAACGAATAATATAAGCCTTGAAGCTATCAGGTAGCGAAATCATTTTCTCTATTATTGCGCATTTAGGCAGAACCGAGGTCAGACTATATGATGACGAATGACGAAATTATCAACTGAATGCACACATAGGTATTCTAATCAACAAACAATAGATAAATACCCACTACATCAGGTAGATAAGTTATAGGCTTATTTTTTTCACCTGTATCTTGCCTCACCCCTCTTGCGCAACTACTAACCATAGCTCAAGATTTGAAAGCTATTGAAGCAAAAGAAAACACCCAGTCCATGAAAGCTTTCAGAATCGAAAAGTGACCTTTTATTCCTGGGAGAGTTTTGCGGATACTGTGTACTAGACTTCACCCAAGAAAATAATGATTAGGTAACTAAAATTTTATTCAAATACTACGATTTAATAGATTGCTATATCGGAGCAAGATCTAAATGTTTCTTGTGGACCACATCCGAGAGCACCCGTTCCATTCCCACATTCTCCCCAATTATTACCTGAAAGGAAGTAAATTTCAGTACCAAACGAAAAGTCCGCTAAATCGAAAGCTTACCCGTTCTGTAGTGCCATCTCAGAACACATCGCTCACAGACCAAATTATCTGGCAACTGAACTAAGTTTGTAGCATCAAATAAATTAGAGTCTACTACAAACGTTTCTGAACCATCCGCGAAACGTAACTGTTGAAAGCAGCTGTCATCTTCTGGTTTTGTGGAGTCTTCCAATTTGCACAAGCTAACAAGTGGAATATTTCAGACTTTGTATAGTAATTAATTCATACCTGTAAGAGAATGTTCCCTTGTGATTCGCTGTTAATTTAATCGTAACACTGATTACACTTCCTGATGGATATCTGTTCACAACGTATCCTAACCCGTATTTTCCAGTGTTTTCGTTTTCTCTTGGAACAGCGTCTCCATAGTTGTCACCGCATACCCCACATTTTCCACCATGTACTTGCCATTGAACCTGTGACATAGGTTTCTCAATAGTGCTTTTTAAAACTTAACCACTCACACTAAATCCGCCACAAAAGTTTTCGTTATCCTCATAATTAGGAGGAAACGAGGGATTTTGTCTCCATAGTGAACTTCTGTTTATCGGATCCATCATCATACCATGCCCTAAAACCTGCCCTGCAAAAACTAGTAAAAAGCAAATACTACTCATAGCCTTGATAAAAGCAAAGTGTGAGCTTGGGGACGCATTTGATATTAAGTAGTGTTTACCTTAGATGATAAGCGGATGAATACGGGTAGATAACAAACCGAAAAAGTTCTAACATAAATTAGTTTAGGAAGTTCTCAAAAGTATTACTCTCACCACGGCCACAATGTTGGAAAACTGCATTGCTCATTCCTAAATGCATTCCATGGTAAAATATGAGCAAACACTCCGTAGAATTTCATTAATGCCTTCTTTTTACTAGTCGCAATCTTATCTCATTCACGTAAAGTAAACTTCTCGCCCGTAGTCTAGATACTTTAAAACTTGCATTAGATTTTTTGTCTGTGTCCAGGGGTTACTCTGCGATTAGCCATAGGTACTTTATGGTTAGAGATGCACCTGTGTCGGTATCAAAAGGTAACACCTTTCATCCTATTTCGCAATGACATTAGTTGTAATATTTATGTGCTTTTATCTATAATGAGGCAAACAACATTTTCCCAAGGGACACTTATCAACTTATATTAAATTTTAATGATAGTTTCCGTGGAGACAATGTTTCGTACCATCTTCAGGGGTATCAGTTAAAGTTAAGAGAATATTGTCACGTTTTTTTTCTTACCAATTTAAATTCGTTTTAAGTAACCTTCGATTTGTCTCTTATTTAAATTCTTATGCCATATAGGCATTTCCTTTGTAATCCGTTTAGTGAAAAATGTGCTATTGTTCGCGTTATTTGTTCGTCTGTTCGTCCGTCCGGACCCACTTCTGCGGTGTTGAACTACTTTTAGGGGAGTCCTGGAATTGTTTTCAACATGTAGCCTTCAAGGCCATCAAATTTTGTTGTCTGTCCCCCCCCCCCTCAAATTATTTCTTGAGATGCTGTTTTTGAATGTAAAACGTGCATAACGTTTACATGCGACAACCAACTGGTCTCAGAATTTGCATGCACATGCCTTTAGTGGCGCCAAGTATAATCTTTGAAATGGGGGGGGGGGGGGAGGCGAGCGCCCGTTCCCCCCTTCATGGTATTCTAATGAAAGGGTCTCACCGAAAGGAATTGGTTTGTACAAACTATAACTTTCCTACCAACTACGGTCCTACTTTCTGACTTCTTATCAAAAGAGAGGATTGGAGGGGGTGGGGGGGGGGTTGAACTGGTTTTATCCTTCACGGTACTCTAATAAAAGGTCTCAACGAAAGGAAAAGATTGGATTGGAATAAGATTGATTCTCGTTCTTCTTCCCTGGCAAGACATATTTCGGTTTCAGTACAACAAACAAGAATGAAACTTTTGAAGAATAACAGGGAACCGGATGCGTTCCTGGAAAGAGTAGTACTAGCGGTATAACGGAAATTCTTGAAAGATACTGCATTTTGTTATACCAAGGTGCCACTTGGTACAGTTATTCCTTAGAGCAATTTAAACGATTTGACCCGAAGAACACTTGATATTTTCCATGTGGGTAGATTTTAGAGGGGGTAGGGGTGATTTATTGTAACATTTTTTTAAAAACTAAATATGGCCTAGAGACGAGATCTGGGTGTCGATTTCGTATGATTTTAACCCGAGGAAGCCAATGGTAGCCCCAGAAATGTAATCCGGATACAGGAAGTCCGTGAAAATCCGCCATTTTTAGAAAACGACAGACATATAAAGGCCACTTTAATTATTTCGTACAACCTCGGTTTTTGAATTTGACGTGGAATCAAAAATAAATAAAAGATATTATTCCAATAGAAAAATTTTAAGAAATGCGGCAGAAACTGGGGGAACAGTTTTAAGATATAGGTACACTGTTTTTGACATAGTAGGGGAAAAGCTATTTTTGCAACTAAATTAACGTATTGAATCCGCGCTAATAAAAAGTTTTTGAAATCTGTTTTCTCTCTCTTCTTTAATGTTGCTAAAATCTTTTATTTGTTTCCTGGTGCCCAACTGCCTTAATTAAACTATTATTTCTTTTTTCTGAATTTTACCGCAATAAAAGCAATTTGAAGTAAAATCGAATTCTTTTGCTTCTTGAACAATTTGTCTTATTCACGAACTCTTCTTCCTGCCTGTTTTACAGCTGATGCGATTACGTTGGGCCTGTTAATCGGTAATTTACAGGAATTATGAATAAAATCCTCACGAAGTTTATTCCAGGTTTTACATCTCAAATCATTCGCTTTGGCCGGTAAAACTATTGTTCCTATTGCAGATTTTGCATGTTTATCAGCTATAAAATAGTATATTAAGTATGGAGAACGGTAAGGGATTTTTACCGTTCGAAGACAATTGTTTGGAGGAGGAGCGAAGCGACGACTCCAATTATTGTCTGAGAACGGTAACCCTTAACGTTCGACGTGCTTATAACATTTTTTGCGCGATCGAAATTAAAATTATGCAACCAATATAAATATGCACTAAGAAATTAACGAGCAGAATAAATCGAAATGATCGAAGTGGTATGGTGTACATCACTAGGCAACCAGTTTAAATGTCAAAATTGAAATTAATAATTTCATAAAAATGTGCATGTGTCTGATGTAGTTTACTAGCTTTGCACTTCCTTTATGACTTTATGAGCGTCTTGCTATAGGAAACAACAGCACAAATTGTACGTTTAATTTACCTAACAATAATTAAAGATTAAATGTAATGTAAGACTGTTGATTTTTAAAAAGGCGTCGGTAAGTATTTTTATTTCATACTATCTAGTAATCGCCGCTTTCCCAGACTGATTTGAGTCTGGTAAATCGTATTTTACCAGACTGAAAATTTTTACCAGACTGGAAATTTTGCCTAGCAACCGCAACTGACATCCATCTAAACGTGATATGATTTTGATTGATATTGATATTTGTCAAACTACTGTCAGATCAAACAAATCAAGTGATCGACTTTTGCTTTTATTTTAATGTGTACCTACAACATTCTAATCAAAATGGTATTTTAATAGAAATAGAGCAGTATGAAATAAAATGTTTTACATTATTTGTATGTCAAATCAGTTTACGTTACTCGTTTCGAAATTCCTGCCTCAGCTACGCTTCGGCAGTAAACATCTCACTCGTTAACGTAAACCTTGATTTACCATACTCATATGTAAATAACTATTGCTGTTCTGTTTTTAGATCGGTAAGTAATTTTGGCGTCGTCGTAATCATAGTAACTGGTAAATTCTACGTACTGTCATGGAAACACCCATCGTAAATAGTCAGAAATGACCGATCGCGCAAAAAATTATATACCGCGGGACTGAAGTAGTACTTTTAATCCCGAAGGTAAAGTTTATGGCCCGACCGAAGGGAGGGCCATAATTTACCTGAGGGATTAAGACCACGACTTCAGTCGCAAGGTATATACGATATTTTTCGTACTTCCGAAACTGAAACACTTAATATGTATGGAGTTAGAGAACGTGTTTTTTCAAAAAATCGCTGCTTAACAAGTTACCATAGGAACGTTGCGTTGGTACGACAATCCCTATGCTATGGTAACAAAAATAATTCGGAAACTGTCATTGCTAGTGTCATAATTTTGGTGGTGGGTGACAAAGGTGTATTTGATATTGATAAAAAGCAGCCAAAGTAGGTAAAGAATTCATACCACTGAAATCCAAAAAACTATAATGAGCAGCAGTACGATGCGTTTGAGAAGTAGTGCCGCATTCAAAATCTGGAACAACCTACTGAAATAGTAATTTCATCTTTCCGGGATTTTCGTTCAAATTTAATCCCGGCGGGACAAAAAGTGACACTTCAGTACTTGTCATAATGAAGTGAAGTTGTCACTTTAGGCTCGGAAGTACGAAAAACATTATTTTTCTCAAAACAACTACTACACACACTCTCTATGTATAAGTAATTAAAATTGTGTGATCGCCATAGGTATCCAACAGATTTATCGTGTCAAAAACCGTGTATATCTTAAAACTGTTTTTCCAGTTTTTGGCGATTTTCTTCCCGAACATTTTGCTACTCCGCGCACCTATGTACGATGAAAAAAAGATTTCTTCATCCTCTTGAAAAAGAGGTGGTTTTTTTCAGAAATCGTGAGATCTCGGAAACGGTCCATCTTTACGGACCCAAAAAAAATGTCTCCTTTTTTATCATAAAACAAGCTATGTTTATGCCAAATTTCAAACCCTTACGACTTTTTTTCGCAAAAATAAGAATAAAAATCGAAAAAAAAGGTTTTTCCCGTTTTTCTAGGAAAATTACAGGTTATGTGTAAATATTGCAGATACAAAAGTTGTTCATTTTTTATTCTCTATAACTTTTATATTGAACATTAATTAATAGTTTTGTCACAAATTGCAAAATACCAGTTTCCACCCCTTTCAAACTCCGTGATTTCACTCGCGGAAAAATTTAGCTGTTTTAATTATTTTAAAAGCGCATTCATTTACTTATCTGCTAATTTACAAATATAACAATAAAAATCACCTACAATAATTACGTAAGAAATGTGTATTTATCAAATAATAGCTATGTCTGCACAAGTCCTGAACACCTCTTGAGGTCCACATCCCAAACAAGTCGTTCCATCTTCATCTGTTCCATAGTTATTACCTAATTACAGTACAACGGATTAGTAAAATAGTGTTGATAGTGATTTACTTACCAGTTCTGTAGTGCCATCTTAGCACACAATTGTCGCATTTAAAACCAGTAGGCAATTGAATTCGATAATAAAAATCTTTATTCCCTGGTTCAACCTCCGCCTTTTCTGAACCATCAGCAAAAAGTAATGTTTTAAAACAATCTTCTGTTTCTGGTTTTGTTAGATTTACTAACTCACACAACCTAAGTTGCCCAAACTACCTACTATAAAGTTCTCGGGAATTTTTATTACTTACCCAAATGTAAATGTACCTCTATGGTTTTGCGTGAGACGCACAGTAACATTAATTATGGATTCCGCTTGATACTCCGCGACGATTACACCCTGTCCGTAATAACCCGTATTTTCGTTACTGCGCGGAACTGGATCACTATAGTTATCTCCGCACACCCCACACTTCCCGCCATGGATTAGCCATTGAGCCTAAATCACATTACACACCAACCCCGATAATTTTTGCCTACTTACTCCGAACCCACCGCAAAATAATTCCATATCATTATAATTTGGGGGAGCTGTACTGTTAAATCTCCATCTAGAACTTCTTCCTGCAGGATTTATCATCATGCCATGGCCAAGTACGCTGTCTAAACTAAATAGGACCAAAACTGCAAGCAATGAGATCGCCATGATTAATTACATTACTTCGAGTAATGCGCCAGATCTTATAAACACTTTTTTTAATCTTATCAAAGTAAATTCTCTATTTCACCCATAATTGAAGAATATATATTATGCATTTAGTTCATCGCGTCGGAATTTTTGGATCTCATGTGTAATTGGGTGCCCTAAAACCTCGATTGTAATAATCTTCTGAAATATTGCAGTATGTATTGTTCTGGCTGGGGGTAACTTTTTCGCAAGGAAACTAGCGTACCACATGAAGAAAGTGCTTAGGAACTTGATTTACCACCTTCTGTACGAAGGGTTGTGCTACTGTGATCATTGAGTAAAAGTCGGCAATTTCGAATTTTTTGTCATAAGTACATTTTTGTATGAGCGTTATAAGTTGGGAAATCGTGTTTTCCCCTAACGTCTTTTATAGAACTATGTCATTATGTCATGGCATAAGCACTTGTCCTACATTTAATTAATTTATCTGATGTTGTGCTTGCTATGATTAATTTTTTGATCCATGTAATATAAAAATTATGCAATTTTAATGAAAATGAGAGGCCGAATCCGCAACTGCATTAAAAATCAGAATATTCAATTAAAAACAAAAAATTGCTATAAGCGCAAGGTGCCGTCTTGAAAATATGGTAGTTCAACTGAAAGTTTTTGAAAATGGTAGGATCTTTCTTGTTTATGTTTAGAGAAAAGGTGGTTTATGTGGGGAACGAAGACCCTGCTAAAGCTCAAGTTCAACTGCTCTCCTCGCTTTGGTGTATTTTCATTGATCCGTCTTCTAGCTCCGTTATATTTTTTTTTTTTTTTAAAGTTCAACTGCTCTCCTCGCTTTGGTGTATTTTCATTGATCCGTCTTCTAGCTCCGTTATATTTTTTTTTTTTTTAATTTATTCGCCCTCTCTTGTTCTGGGCCTTCAACAGGCTTGCGCCCAATTACAGAGTGACCCGCATAATGTTTTTTAGAGGTGCCTCTCCAGAAGGTCTTAAGTTGTTTTATACTACTCCGGTATTTACCTTACGAATTAGGAAAACTGTCCCAAAACCTAATTCGGAGTAGCCGGTAGATTGCTCGGAACTGGTCTAGGTAATTTCCATCTCTGCCACAGATGAAAAATTCACCTCAACCCAGGTTCGAAAACCCGACCTCCGCATTTATAGCCCAACGCTCTACCACTAAGCCATAAAGCCGCTACATAGAGAATTGAGTAGCTGCTGGGGAAAGCATTAATCAAGATATTGACAGCAGAGCAACTTCAATTATTAACGATGAACTAGCATTCCCTTGTTTGCTTTGATAATTTACATCCCTTCTCTTTAGTCTTCTGACAGTTTCTTTAAATGTCGCATTCACAACCTGACAAACTCGTCTTCTAGCATTTAAATGAAAAACATGTGCGTTTAATCTAAAAGAGACCAGACGTCCATGTCCAGGTGAACTAACTTGGCCCACGTATTCAATCTGCCCCTTGCCTCCAGCTATAGTTCCTATTTGACGTGGGACTCGACGCGCGAAATTGGCCTCGCCGACTTGGTAGGTATATGATCTTTTTTGCTTCCTCTCGGACTCCGACTCGTAAAACTCACATAATATTTGCGGGAAAATTCTCGTTTAAAACATGATGCCTGAAATAACATTTGGTACCGGACCAAATTTTTGTTATTTCGCTCGCCGAACTTTTTTTATGATTTGACTCTAAGGGCCGAACACAGTCTTTCGCCCTGGCTGCCTCAGAACTTTTATTTTTCGCGGCGACCGGCGTGGTTAACTAAATCGTAGTCGAAGACCAAATCTCCTCAAAATCTTCTCCGGATTAATCCCTACCTATTTTTTTAAATTAATTAACATCCCTTGCAATATGACGCCTAGTAATTAAGTGAACCATTTTTTTCCAAAATCAAATCGGCATCGCTGTGCCCCTCGAATTTCACGCTAGTTAGGCCATTTTGTTTCTGTGCAAGCTTGATTTTCCGCCAGCAGGGAATGATCTCATCCTGATTTTTCGGATTTAAGCACGTAAAACTAATTAAGATAAACTCATCTACGCTGAAAGACAGATTAGAGTATAAATGTCCGGAACTCGTTACCTGGTCATTGCGTTACAGAATTTAATTACGCATAAAAAATTATCTCTAATTTTAAACGGCAACTACAAACTTCCCCAGAAATCTGAATTTACTAAAATTTTGAAATTGTCAAGCTTATAATTTGAAGACCCTATATACGCTCCACTATCAAAGTTATAACAATCCGCGCCCCTAAGGAAATTTAACTTTCAACTCTACAAAAAAAATTACGAGAAATAATACCTTTTAGAAAGCTCCCGTTACGTCAAACGCAATGGACTAATGGACATATTTTATAGCAATTATGCCGTTCTTTACATATTCTTTTAGCCCATAACCTCTTTATCGTGTTTTTAAATAGATGGTTTCTGAACAGTCCTTTTTTACAATGATATTTTAATTCTACACATAATCAAAAGTCTTCTCTTTCAAATTTGCGATTAATCATTGAAATTGGTGCCCTAATCCCTCGGAATTAAAACGCACACTGTCACATTGTAGGCCCTGTTGCCCTGGTATAATCTATTGTGAACCACAACATTAACGCGGATATAGAAATTAATGTGCAGTACGTAGTACCATAGAGTATATATTATTTACTCTATGGTAGTACATATCCCCCCCCCCCTTAGACTCGAAGCTTTTTGAGATATGACAAAACGTCAATCTTCCATCTATCTTATACTTACCTTAATCCACGGGCTAATTCCAAGCGAGGTTTAACCGGCCTTTGTACAACTGGCCCTAAGCATACTTTTAAAGAAACCATCTCAATACATGGAATAGATGACTATAGACAACTAACATTACCCGCGAAAAACGAGTTGTTTTTATAACTCTTTCCTTCTTCAAGAATTTAATTAATTAAATTAAATCCCTAACGTTCCCAAAACTTAGATTTTTTCGCGAATTTTTAGACCCCTCTTGATGCTTTCAACTTTAAAATAAACGCGAAATTAGTTAAACGCTCGTTCAGCAAGTTCGTGGTGACGTCATTTTATATTATTTTTTATTTTTTTTTTGGACAGGTGGGGAAATGCATTACGCACACTCCAGATGGAGGTCTGGAGTAGTGTGGGACTCTCCCATTATTTGGGCATACCCACTAAAACCCCACCTGAGGCTTCGGCTTCTAAGGCCATTTGCCGATCTATTTCCTACTTATAGCAGCTAAGATATCACAGTTTTAAGATGCATACTAGTTACATATATATCACAGATTTTCAGCTCAAACGTACAGTCATAGGACATATTACAAACATTTTATCACACTTTACTTATCACATTTATGGTGCTTAGAAATCGCAGTACTTCTGAGCATTTATTTACAGTGCTAAAATTCTCTTCCCATATGTCACTTATTTGATAGAGGTTACGGGCATCTTGGTATTCTGGACAAACACAAACTATATGCTCCGATGTTAGGTTTACATCACACCTTACGCAATGAGGACGATCTTCACCGGCCAACAAAAAACCATGTGTCAAGGCAGTATGGCCAAGCCGGAGTCTATATAGTTTTATCAAAGCGGAACGATTCGTATTAATAAGAAACAGTGGTCCTAGGCTGGGCTTGACCCTCTTCAAGAATGTGTCAGATGCCCTCCACTGGTCACTCCAACGCTCATTTATTTGAGCTTTTACAAGCCTGCCTCGAACTATTTTAGACAAATCTGCAAAATTTGCTTCATGGAGTTCTAAGTGTCTCAGTTCTTCTCTAGCTCTTTCTCCTATCGTTCTACATCTATTTAGACGAGCATTTGTGATCTCATTTGTAAGCAAGTGATGGTTCGGGTGACTGTTTATCTAGAGACACTTTAAGATAATAGTTGACCAGAATCTGCTTTCGGCGAAGAGTTAAAGGAAGAATGTTTGCTTCCACGTGAAGTGAGGCGACAGGAGTTGTTGGGTATGCTCCAAGAGAATACCTTATTGCAAGGTTCTGGATTTTATCTAGTGCTCCTAATAAAGTGTTGTTACCGCATGTGAGGTAGACAGGGCTACCATAATCAATTTTTGATAGAATCAATGCTCTGTATATGTTAAGTAGAGTCTTAGCATGCGCACCCCATTTATTATGAGCTAAAACTCTGATTATGTTCAGTAACCTCCTACTTGTGGTAACAATGTTTTGCAGGTGTCTAGACCATCTTAATTCACGGTCAAATGTTAACCCCAGGAACTTGACCTCTTGGGGTACACTTATAATTCGATCATTCATAAACAGGACTGGGTCGTAGTGAGGTTTACGAAGTCGACAGAAGTGAGTGGCCTTAGTCTTCTCTTCCGACAACACAAATCCGACAGCGCTTGCATTTTCCCATATTTTATTTATTGCCATTTGTAATTTACGGGTTATGGCACCGATTGTTTTACCAGAACAGCAGATCATCGGATCGTCAACGTACAGGCATTTATCTATTTCCTCGGTGACACCCATTGCTATTTCATTAATGGCAATGCCAAATAGGGAACAGCTTAGTGTTGATCCCTGCGGCACCCCATTCTCTAACACCTGTACCTCTGAATAGGCGTCGCCCACCCTGACAACGAATGTTCTGTTTTCTAAAAAGGATTTGATAAATTTTGGTAGGTTACCGCGTATATGATACTTAAAGAGTTTTTGGAGTATTCCATATCTCCAAGTCATATCAAATGCGCCTTTAATATCAAAGAATACCCCAACCAGGTGTTCGCCACTGTCAAACGCCCTTAGAATTCTGTCAGTAAGTCTGACAAGATGGTCAGTCGTTGACCGTCCCCTCCGAAAACCAGTTTGATAAGGTACGTACACATTGTAGTTTTCAAGAAGTGTTTGCAACCGCACATTAACCATTTTCTCGAGCAGTTTGCCCAAGAAAGATGTCAAACTAATAGGGCGATAACTCTGTGCCAGTAGCGGATCTTTTCCTGGTTTCGGTATAGGGACGATGACTGCCCGTTTCCATTCCGAGGGGTAAGTATGTTCATTCCAGCAATTATTAAAGAAATTTAATATTCTTTGTTGCATTTCAGAGGTACAGTGACGAAGCATCTGGTTATGGATACCATCATGACCTGGTGAGCATGACTTGGTACTACGGAGTGCAGTCTGCAATTCTTCCAGAGTAAAAGGTGAGTTGTAATCTAAATTTTCTTCTGTGTTAAAATTGATATACGAAGATTCTTTTTCAGGTTTAGTGTCCAAAAAGGTGGGAGGATAGTTAGAGGAGCTACTAACCTTGTAGAATTGATCAGCAATAATGTTAGTTATTTCTTGCAGATCATTTATAATATTGCCATCAGCGTTTCGCAGAAACGTCGGGTAATTGAAACTGATTTTACCAGATATAGCTCCCACTTTCCTCCACACTTCACTACTGGTAGTTTCCGGTGTCATTGTGGACACGTACTGTTGCCATGAGTTTCTCTGTGCCTCCAGTATTGCTCGGCGACACTGTGATCTTTGTTTCTTAAATTCTATAAGATTATCCATTGTGGGATTCCGACAAAATTTATTCAAGGCTTTTTTCTTTAACGAGATTTTTGCTTTAATGTCAGATGACCACCATGGAACCATCTTTCTTATTTTGCCAGGTTTTGATTTTGGGATGCTGGCTTCAGCAGCATTTATAATGGAGGAGGTAAGGGCTTTAAGAGTTCAATTATCCTGACTAGGGGGGACGAGCTGTTGTGTAAACCGTTCCGAGTTTGCTAGATTAATTTTGTACTTGGCAGAGTTTTGACCTCGGACTGTAATAACTATGGGAAAGTGGTCACTATGATATAAATCATTTTCCACCTCCCATTTTAAATTAGTATGTATAGCTGGTGAGCATACTGATACATCGATTGAATCAAATGTTCCTGACCTAACATTGAAGAACGTAGGTGAGTGGTCATTAAGCAAGCTTAAGTTTTTATTTTCAACGAGATTCAATAACGCTTTGCCTCGAGCATCATTTGAGGTAGAGCCCCAAACAGTGTTGTGAGAATTAAAATCTCCGACAAGTACAAAGGGTGTTGGAAGCTGATTTATAATTTGTTCAATTTCTCTTACCTCATATGTTGTATTGGGAACGTAGATGTTACAAATTGTAAAGGTTTTGTCAATTTCAAGTTGGACTGCCACAGCATGGTAGGTTGTGTTTAATTGAACCTGTTTATAAGGTGTGCCTTTTTGAATGAGAAAAGCCACTCCTCCACAGGCTCTAGTAGGTGAGTAAAAATCTTTCCTTATTAGATTAAAATTTTTAACAGTAAACTTTGACCTTGGTTTCAGGTGCGTTTCTTGAAGAGCAACACACAATGGGGTGTGTTTTTGAATGAGAAGTTTCAGTTCGTTGAAATTATTGGATAGTCCTCGACAGTTCCATTGGATAATTTTTGTCGTATCCATTTTTTTATTTTTTAAATAGAGACAAGCACAGTGTAATAAATAACAGATAAATAAGAATTGTTGGTGTATATGAGGACAGGCACAATAAATATCTAAATATAAAAAATAGGTGTATCATAAAAGTTTCTTATCACAGACAGTATTACACAAAAATATACGACACAAATATCAGAGGCAGTTACGTATCACAGACTAACTGGTATGAGATCCCTCTCGAATAGCAGAAGCTGGTTTTTCAGCTCTTTTCGCAACTTCGGCACTTGAACCAATTGTATTTATTTATATCAATCAACAAGACAGTATTATGATTGCTGTGCTTTTTATTAAGCGTCTATTATTTTCTTAAGGTAAGATACATGTTATCGCTTAAATAACAAACAGAACATGTTTATTTATTCAACATTGTACCTACCTATATGTATGAAAATACTTTGCTACATGGTTTTTTATATTTTTTCCGTTTTTTTGTTCACATACTCGAGCACTTCATGGTAGAAAAAACGATCTCGCTGAAGAAAGTGATATCGGTGGCATCATCAATGATGCTATCGCTTGCATCGCTCGGTTAACGGGGTAGTTTGTCAGAAAAGATTTTTCAGATTTAGACGCTTTAACGGCTGAACTTGTTTCCTCTATGATTCTCTTTAAAGATAAAATGTTTCCCATGAAGTCCTTGTAGTTAATTTCTTGGCTTAAGCAGTCTAAATGTGCCTTTTCAAAACTTCCAGGTATACAAAATGACATGCCTTCAACTTTGTATTGGTGCAAAACTGGGGTCATGTTCACTCTACTCCTGTTTTCTAAAAGAGTTTGGCCAAAGTAAGCCGGTTCGTTTAATCTGAAACTTTTCTGGCTGCTCCTCATATTTAAGCTATGGTTGCTTGATTGTGATACCGATTCGTTCAAGTTTGTAGTACAAGTTTTAAAGACTAATCTATGGGTAGTACCTTTATGGCTGCCCTTTTCTTTATTTGGGCATCCTCGTTTATGTATCTCAGACACATTAATCTCTAAAAGACATTCGCTTCCAGATAGTGCAACAGGGTCTACACGTGATATTGGCAGCGTTTCCAAGCTATCCCAGCTACCAATTACAGGAAAACCGTTTTCAACACGATGACACTGAACTATTCCGCATTGAAATGACTGTTCAATGGAAATTTTCTCTCGATCAAGCCTTTGGATGGATTCACGTGGGAACTTTTCGCGTTGACACGACTCACTCTCATTGTCATTTGACTCATTGGTATTATCCCAAAGCGAGGTATGCGTAGGAGAGTCTGAAAGGCGTAATATAAAGATGTTTTCATTTTCCATAATTTTGAAGTTTATGTCACTGGCATTTTTGTAGCTCAAGTTGTAAGTCAATTCACGTACGTTTGGACGCTTAAGTGCATAGGAATGGAGTGTTCCTACGTAAATCTCTCTCGAACATCAGTTTCTCTTCTTCCTTTCCCCCAAATTTCGTATTCTTGACTCAGAGAAAAACAATTTGCATAGGAGAAATACGCGTGCTGTTGCTAGATGTCGTGTCGTGGTCTGCGTTCTGATTGGTGCAAAAAAAAACGTGCGCGTCAGAAAGAACGTGATTTGACAATCCAAACGCGTTTGGATCACCGAAAGAAAGCGCCTCAGATGTTTAAGTTTGTCATATCCATATGTCACTGAAAATAACGTCACCGGTCTGCTGTAACCGCAGAGAGGATCGTGTTGGTTGAAATACATTCGACAGTATTTTCTAAATATGTTTGATGGAAAATCAACGCGACTCGGACATCTCCAAACCCGTCTATGTATGTTGGCTTTATTCCTCCGCATCTTCGATTGCTTGGATGCTTAGACGAATGATGATTTTCAAAAATCGGATTGAATTGTGTTTGGTCTCAGTCTTAACGTCGATGCAAGTAAGTGATAAATAATTTTAAAAAAAAACGTCCTCTACATTTTTGCTCTGAGAAGGGACCGGAAATAAACCATGTTCTAACTAAATGTATGATGTGTTGCCTATACTTGTTTCGATATCCCAAGAATCCTGAACTTAGTGGTAATAACTAACTCGATTACTTAAATCAACAAAAATTAAGCTTTACCTTTTTAGTCAATCTTTATTGTGTGTTTGTAGAAAAATGGTTGCGATCACCAGGCGAAGCGCTTCCGAAGCGCTACCTAAAGGTGGGAATACTTTAGCAAGGTTTCTCGCGCGAGTTGCTGCCTGCTAGCACTGTCGAGGTGTACATACCATCGTAAGTCAGACGCACCGTGGTACTTATACACCTCGACAGTGCTATCAGACAGCAGCTTGCGCGAGAAACCTTGCTAGATTATTGCCACCTTTAGGTAGCGCTCATGAAGCTAAGCTTTGGCACCTTTTTCGACGCATCCTATATATAATGTATAATGTATGTAAATGGAAAGTAATTTAACCTCACTTTAATTTTTACCTCAATGCTTTCATGTGTCCTGTCAAAATTGCATCACTTTCCTCAGGTTTTGCCACACTTTTAAAACTGTGATAAAGATGACTACGAATGTTGCTAACGGCGTAAACGAGCCGGAAAAAATCGAAAATGATGCCGAAGACATTGTGGATCCATGGACAGTAGTAAGCAGCTCGGACAAAGGAGTTGACTACGACAAACTAATAAGTATTGATCATTTTCCTTTTCATTAGTCAACTAATATGCCTTTTTCTACCTGCAGAACGTTTTGGTAGCTCTCAGATCGACCAAGAACTTAAAGATCGATTCGAAAAGGTGACCGGCAAGCCAGTTCACCACTTGCTACGAAGAGGAATCTTTTTCTCTCATCGTGACATGCATTCAATTTTAAATCAGTATGAGGCTGGTAAACCTTTTTATTTATACACTGGGCGGGGACCTTCGTCGAACTCGATGCATTTAGGTCACCTCATTCCTTTCATACTTTGCAAGTGGTTGCAAGACGTTTTCGATGTGCCTATAGTAATTCAATTAACTGATGACGAAAAATGTTTGTGGAGGGACATAAAATTGGAGGAGGCAAATAAAATGGCATATGAAAATGCTAAAGACATAATTGCGGTTGGATTTGACTTGAATAAAACCTTTATTTTCTCTGATCTTGATTATGTTGGGTAAGTTGACGAATTTTTAAGTAGTTTTCATGACTTCGCATCATTTCAGTCAGTGTCCGGAGTTTTATAGGAACATGATTCGAATACAAAAGTGTGTCACATTTAATCAAGTTAAAGGCATTTTTGGTTTCGGTGACAGTGATGTGATCGGTAAAATTTCTTTCCCTGCAGTACAAGCAGCTCCGGCTTTATCAACATCATTCCCTGATATCTTCGCCGGTAAAAAGATTCCTTGTTTGATTCCATGCGCCATCGACCAAGATCCTTATTTCCGAATGATGCGTGATGTTGCACCAAGAATTGGTTTCCAGAAACCCGCTCTGCTGCATTCGACATTCTTTCCGGCATTACAAGGTGCCAAGACCAAAATGTCGGCATCGGATCCGAACACTACAATCTTTTTAACCGACACTCCGAAGCAGCTGAAAAATAAAATTAACAAACACGCCTTTTCCGGCGGGCAAACGACTGTTGAGGAGCATAGAGAACGGGGAGGAAATTGTGATGTAGATATTTCATACCAGTATTTAACATTTTTCCTAGAAGATGATGATCAACTGGAAAAAATTAAAAAGGATTATACTAGTGGTGCTTTGTTAACGGGTGAACTTAAGAAAATATTAATTGATACTGTTACACCTATACTACAAACACATCAAGAAAGGCGAGCAAAGATTACTGACGAAGTACTTAAAGAATATATGACACCAAGGAAATTAGGCTATAATTATTAGTTAGGCATTTCTTTTCTTTTTGTTAGTAATTTATTGATATTTATTTTGAAATACTGTGAATTTTAGCTACTAGTCATTTAACTGTTGGTTGAGATTCCATATTTCATTTCTGAATTTACAGTAAGACAAAAGTAATGCAATTTTTTAATTTTTCTTCACTGATATAATTTGTATCTTTGTTATTTTTTTTCTAAAGCACTGCACGTTTTTTTTGTTCATACTTTATAATAAAATCGAAAATTGATTACTATTGGTTTCTTTTTGGTGTATTGTTGAATGACGGATAAGTAACATATAAGGGTGCTCAACAGAGTGCCAAGTCAAGGATGTTTAGTTTATGCAAATATAAAAAAAATTGCCAGTGTCATACATGATATAAATAAAATAAATATTTATTGTATCGTGAGTGTCATAATCTAAAAACCCATTTTCTATTAGTTTTCTTAAAAATCAAAGTTCATTTGTTACAGAAATTAAAAAAGTTGCCCTTAAAATTTGGGTACTTGGCATTAAATTTATCACCTTTGCTCTTACGGTAACCGAGATTTCTCCAAATATACCAAGGGTCCAGAATGTCTCATTGGAGATCATATATATCTCTCAAAGTTCTACATTGTGAGTTGCTCATTTATTAACATTCAATGACACATTTAAATGTTACGATGACAGTAAAGTCACATTATAACATTTCAAATCTTCATCTAAATTCAACTGCATATAATTTTTTTAAAATTAACCGTTTGAGATCGCGAAATCAAGATGATCCCCTGTAAATAATTTCCTAACGATCGTGTATATAACCGATCGAGTGCGCAGGTGCGGATATCCCCCTCTGAAAGTGTAGCTGTCATACAGATGTTGCATGCTCGTTATCAAAACAGAGAACTAAACAAAGGTTGAATGAAAACCAAAACACGTTAGTGAAATTTGGCGAAAATGCCGTGGTTTCAAGTGCCAGAAAATATAAAGAAACGTGTTTGTATTTACTTGCTTCAGAGGTACCTTGGTCAGTTTTTTGAAGAAAAATTAACATTGGACCAGTTATCTGTCGATTTATACAATGGAACTGGCACTGTTAAAAACATCAGCCTTGACGTGCAGGTATAATATTTATATTCATAATAAGTAGTCGATATTGCGACACTATCTATAAATGCGTAAATGGCGATACTCCGCATTTGGTTAAAATAGCCACAAGGTGTCTATTTTTAATTTCCATAAAGCACTCACTTCCTCAATTGCATGCTTTGTTATTGTTTTCTTAGTCCATGTGCTGACCACCTCTTCACTCACCCAACTTCTGAATGAAACAAATGTCTACTTAGTGTTATTTGCAGTGGGAGTGCCAATGGGAGGTAATTCCAAGAAAAAAAAACATCCTTTGTATACTTCCATATTCAAATTCGACCATCCTGTTGTTTTGAAAACGGATCGCCTAATTCAAGGATGCATTCTATTTTAATTGGAGCACAGAGTTTTGTCTTAACAAAGTCACTTTCCTTTGTTATGCTCTTACGAGCAGTATTCAATGTAAATTGCTTTAACCTTTAAATGTGAAGTGTGTGGAAAACGGTATCCGCTGCATTTTGTCCTTTGAAAATATTTGATTGAATTCGCTATAATGTGTATTCACTTAACTATTTTCATAATGCAAAGTGTATGATTTGTAATTCAAATTTGGCTGTTTTGTTATAACTGTTAAAATTTACCTTGTACCATTCGTCATTGGTTCCATGAGGGTAATGTTTATTCAACAGTAACAAAACGTTAGGACCCCAACAGAATATCTTATAATCAACTGAAGATTGGTTGCTTACAGTCCTCGGGCAAAAATTGTTTTGGGTCATATATTATAGGTGTTACAATTTTAACAGCAGCTCTAAAGTAACCAATTGACCAAATTGATGCCTTATGTCACACATGGCAAAATGGTAAAGAGGGGGTTAAAAACTTCAAATTTCTCGAAAAGTTCCCCTCCTGAAAATTGTATGTGATTCTAAATATCTTGGTATTTATTAGAAGATTTCAAAGAAAATTTCATAATACTTAAATTTCTAAGAATTTTGAAAACGTTTCCAATTTTTTAATACTTCTAAAAAAGATCCAAGGATGGCTTCAAATCACAATAACGTTTCTAATAACCATTTAGCTAGGTATATAAAAAAATTGTAGTTTTCCAAGAAGATGTTTCCATGAAGATTTTTAAGAATATTCCTATAGCTACCTTTTTTTTCCCCCAAATTATAGGTACTGTGCTCGTATGGTTTCAGAACCTTCAAGCTCTATTAGCATCATCAGAAAGCTCAGAAATAGTTACTAGGGGTTTGTTAGAGGTATTTTTTGAACGCCAGTGCATTTTCAAAAATTACATTTTTCGGTTTTTTAGTCATAACTTCGATATTTGTAGAGCCACAAGAAACTTTCAATGGGAAAAATTAATCAGCATAACATTCGGCATAACTTTTCCCATTTCAGTGACTTTGTATCTCTTTTACGGTTTACGAGATTCCCATAGTTAAAATGAAACAAGTAAAAAGGTTCTCGCGTTAACTTTAGTGCATTTTCCATGCATTTATCAGTACTTTCCAAAAAGCTATGGCTATGTTTTTCTTTACTAAAAGAATCTATGGTTAACATTTCAAAGAAATATATCATTAAATAAGAATGTGGGCATTGCGCAATCTACGCATTCGCACATCTTATTTTTGAAATATGTGATATGTTTGCCTTTACTAGAAGCATCTGTGGTTGACATTTCAAACTAGAGGCAAAATTGCAAGGAAATATTCTCACAAATGCGCGGAATGCACGTAGACTGCGCATGCGTACATCTAATGTTTACAATACGAGATATGTTTGACTTTAACAGAAACATCTGTCATTAAAATTTCAAAAAAATATCTCGGTAATTAAGACCGTTAACATTGTGCATCCTGCGCATGCGCACACTAATCTGATGTTGACAATATGCGATACGTTTGCTTTTACTAAAAGCATCTTTGGTTAAAAATTCAAATAAGAATCTCTATAAATGAGATAGTTGGCATTGTGCAGTCTGCGCATGCGCACATCTGATTTTTACTATATGCGATGTTTGCCTTTAAAATTTCAAAAAAATATTAATAAATAATTCTGACTGGGCTCCTAATTTTGAACTTGAGATTTTAATGTTTCCTAAAAAAGTTACATTTTTCTAAGGCGTTGTATAGAAATATTTTCACCTAAGAGGTGAACCACTTCACATTTGTGTTCACTATAATTCTAAAAAGTCTAAAAAAATTCCAGAAAATTCAAGGAAAAAATTCCACATAATTCTAAAATATCAAAAAAATTCTAGAAATTTAGAAGACTTTCAAAAAATGGTTGGAAGATTTTTAAATTAGTTTCTGTGAGAGTTACAACTACTTGAAATAAATTCCCTTGCATAATTTCTAGAAAGGTTTTGAGTAACATTTTTTCCTGGTAATATTTCCCATGTATATTTTTAGCGCATTTTTGAAATAAATACGGTATTATATTCGTTATGGCTGGCTGTCCGGGTGAGATCTCGGCAACTACAATAGCTAGAGACTTCAAAGTTTCACTAAAAGCTTTCTGTGATAGTGTAGATGTGCAGGCTTTTGTCTATTTTGAGTTAGATTACTTGTGAGATCGATAATTTAAGAAAATAATTTCGATATGGTTTTCGGAGATGCTATAATTTTACCGTTAGTATAAAAATGATCGATAATTTTAAACTTCGCTAATAAAATACTGACCTGTGCTTATTACCAAAAATGCGCTTTAATCATGCATTTATGCTGATTTACAACTTGTTTTAGGTTAGTATGGAAACTTCTTAGGTGTTCTAGGCGTTGTCATAGAGTAAATAATATTATTTACTCTATGGCGTTGTCTAGAAATATTTTCACAAACATTTGAAATAAATATCCAATCCAAGAATGAGTAAATAAATTTCCAAAATTTTCCAGAATTTAATTTTTCCTTGGAATATACAGGGTGTTTGAAATTAGCCCACACGGACTATGGGATGGTGTTATACGACACTGGAACACATTTTTAAAAACAAAAGAAGGTTCAAAATAAACTATAATTATGACGAGTACGTAATTACAACAGTTGTTCAAAATGTCTGCCGTCTGCTAGTAAACAAGCTTCAGCACGTCGAAAAAAAAAAGTGCAGTCTGATCAAAAACTGGTAGAGGAACTTTTTATTCAGTTTTCGTTGTATAACACCATCCCACAGTCCGTGTGCTCGAATTTCGAAACACCCTGTATCCTATGGAAGTATATTTTTATCACATTTTTGATTTTTTAAGAGTTAAAAAAAGTGCTATTGTTTGCGTTTGTCAGTCCATACCGACCCACTTCTGCCTACTTTTAGGGGAATTGTCTTAAAGAGTCCTAGTATTTTTTTGAAAATTGAAGGCAGACGGCCAAGAAATAGCGCCCTATGAATTGGTCTGTCTCAGAATTTGAATTAATTTTATTCTTTCATGGTTTTCTAAAAGTCTCACCAAAAGGAACTGTTTTCTACCAACTGCCCTCCATCTTTCTGACCCCTCATGAAAAGAGGAGGTTTGGGGTGGAACTGGTTTTATCCTTCATGGTATTAATGAAAGGAATTAATTTTTTCCAACCATAGCCCTCATCCTCGGCCCCTTATCGTGATCGGAGATAATCCCTTATATATCAAGGACGGATTGTCAGAGAAGCACACTCACAAAGGAGATTTTGAATTTGACGTAAAAAGTTCTTCCACGCGGACCATACAGAACTCACTTAGTAGTGGATATTTCACAAATGTTTCAAATTGTTTGTCATGAATTCTTTTATTTCATAGCCACCTTATTTTTTGTACATTAGGTGGGTAGCGTTAGGTGATTAAACAAGTGCGATACATAAATTAAATTTAATTAGATTGAGAATTAAGCTGATCATGGTTCCAAAAAATCAAAACGTACTTAAAATCGACTTATTCCAACTTGTAAGTGAAAAAAGCTGCAATTAAATAGTGTCATTTGTTGTTTTTAAAAATTTCATCATATAAAGTCACAAAAATATAGGAAATTCCAGAATTAAAGGTTATTTTGAATAATAGCTTTTTAGGTTTTTTTTAAAGGGGATTTTAATCAGCACACAAAACTTTGCCTATTTAACCTAATCGCTATCTTAACAAAGTTACCCGGCCATGCAATTAATTAATTATTAATTATTTAATTTAAAACACTTATACAGAGATAAGACCGAGGATAAGACATTTCAGAACATAAGCCACTTGAGTCAAAGTTGTTAAAAACGGATGCTCTTTTAGGTATCCCCATCATTGAGATAACACTAATTATGAGCCATTTGATGCTTCAAAAGATAATTGCTAAATTAAATATTTGCCCCTCGATGACCTTGCACAAATTTAACTTTAATTTTTATAGACAATGATTTAAAATAATTATCTAATATTTGCTCGGTAAACAAATGTTTCCTAATGTGCCAAAACGAATCGATTAATGTGTGTAATTTATATCAGGATTGTTTGTAAAGTCTGGATCTATTCCTTTTTTGATTTTATGGTTGATATTTTTAGTGCTCAACTTTCTATGTCCAGACATAGTTTATTCTTCAACGAAATTTCATACTTTCAAAATTAACCAATATTCTGCTCCCAATAAAGATAAAAAATAACATACGGTTTTAATGTGTGGCAAACATATTTTGTTTGGCATGTTGCAACACAATCCTTTATGTAATGGTGATGAAGATCTCACAGAAGATATTGATAGCATACAAGTATATTCCTTAACTCCGGTGCAGCTCCGCTTCAACTGTGTTGACTAGCTCATTTCCTCCCAATATCTGAATTTTTGGAGCTTCCACAATTTTGCTTCTTTGGTCATTAAAAATTGCGGTCAGATCCTTGATGCACAAGCATCGTAGGTACACAAATTCCTAATCTCGCCCGATTTTTGCAGGCTCTCAATGAATTGGGAGAGAAACAAAATTGGCCAATGGAATTTGTCGACGGTTATGTGGAGGAACTTTTCGTATCTATTCCGTGGGGCTCCCTTCTTAAGGATTCCAGCTTCATTGAAGTGCGCGGACTAAAAATTACTGTTCAACCGAAGCAACGAAATGAAAGCGGTGAGTATTTTCTTCGATTTCATCTTTCTACAGTTTTAAATATTTCAATTCTAATTTCCAGCTACCTCGATGTTCGAATCAATGTGGAGTTCGATGACGAATTCCATGCAGTTAGCGGAAGAGTGTGTTAAACAAGATCCGACTAATGCAATGGACTCAGCTCAGCCGCTTGAAGTGATAGAACGTTTCGCACAAACTATCGACTCAAGTATGATATAGTAGGATTTTCTTTTGTTTGCGCGCACGTCATCGGTATATTATGACGTCGTCACTAAGTATGTTTACATAGCATCATGCAATCAATGACAGACAGTCAGGCAGTCCCACATTGTGGCATACCCATTATACCCTTCTATTGACCAATTAAAAAAAAGTGTTTCGGTAGTTATTTGTACTTAACAGGTTGTCGCGATGTTTTACTGACACGGTGGACATTATTATTGGGAAGTAAAGGAAAAGAAAAAATCATCTTAATTGTTTTTTTATAACGGCGCCCGCAGTACTTAGCAGCAGAAGTCAAGAAACGACTGCAATCTTGATTTACTCCATACTCACGAGCAGAGCCTAACTTGTTTGCAGAATCTTCCTGTTTTCGTCCTTGTAAAAATCGAATCACAGCGTTTTTACCGAAGACGCGTGTTTTACCTTACTGTGTTGGATTATGTCATAGATGGAATCGCTGCTTATGTGAAACCACCAACATCGATAACGGGTTTCTTACATTGCTTTGTTTTTTTAGTACTTTCTAAATGTTTGCCCAAGTCACTGTTCGCAGGCTAATATTTAATACATCTGTAATTCTCTGTGAAATTAAACTTGTTACGTATACGAATTCTTGTATTACTAAAGTAACTACTCTCCTCTCTTACTGCTGCAACTGATAAAAGTGGACCACCATTATCTTTTTCTCGTTGAAAATATCGAATAAGATTACAAATAAGTCGCTTACTTTTTCTTAGGAAACCTGATGGCATTTTTGGGATATACAACTTTTGTACAGTGGGACTTACAGAAGTCATGTTTCTATAATTGTTCGTTACGAAACTAACGGATTTTTTATCGGCTAATGTAGCAAAATGTGATAAATAATGAAAACGGTAGCAAACGGTTGTCAAATTTTATGTGTTGCAATGTAAACGCGAACTACCGCAATTTCGATTGACAGGTAACCTGAAAACAAAGAAATTTTTTAAATATCGCACAATTCTGCCCCAAGCAAATATATATTTTATTAATTATTAAATACATAGATCAGTCTAACACGTAATTCTAACGTTATTATTAATATTACTATTTTGTTTGTTTGTTAATACATTGGCATTACAATATTCCCCCAAAAACATAATTGATGACGTGCGCGCAAACTAAGAAAAATCCATTTTTTGATAAGGGTTTACTTTGGAAAATTTTGTTGTTAGCAATATGAATCGGGTTAGTGGAATTAGTTCCAGTGTTGCTTTCAGGTTCAGTGTTGTTTGATGATTTAATGTTTCTTTAATTCTACCTCCGTTGCCTGTCGTGGGGAAATTTTGAAGGAAAAGTTATACCTCTTTCTACCCCCTCCCGAAAAATCAATTTTAAAAAAGCGCGATAGTGCGCTGAGCGCTATCCTTAAGCTTATTTAGTATGGCCAACACAAATGGAATTTTCCAAGATCAACCCCAATAAAATAACATGGTAAACTTTTGATTTTAATGTCTGCCTTTCAGTTTTAAGCCGAGTAAAAGTGAAATTTACAAATTCCCTAATACAAATAGAGCACGTACCAAAAGATAGTTCAACGGGAGTGGCAGTGCAAATAAAGATTCCACAGTAAGCGCATAATCTAAACATGTAAATATTTCAAATTTCGTTGTAGTATGGAATACATGGACGCGGCTGGTAACGATCCGCCGACAGACGGGACGGTTGATCCGAATAATCTCGAACAAAATAAGGCGTTTGTCGTATCCTCGTTTACCACAAAAAACTTTTACTTTCAAGGTGTAACACTGTCAACAGTAGAATTTCCAAGTAGAGCGCGTACATTCTCACGGTCTGTGATATTTCAATCCAATATTTCCAATACCCAGGAAGAGGATTCTTTAATAACTATGGTAGAGAAGAGCTTCAAAATGGAAACGGGTGAATGCTCGGATTATACCGATACAGAAGAAGATCAAATGGCACAATCAAACGAATTTGAGAACGAAAGGCATGTAATACAGTTTGGAAGATTAGTAGGGAAACAACAGGTGAGTCCTTTTTGTTTCTGTTATAACAAGGTTATATTTGATATTTTTTAGATTAGTGTACGTTTAAAACAATCTGAAGAAGTGCGTGGACCCAAAGTGTCACTGTCTGTCGAATTTGGATCCCTCATATTGTTTTTATCGCCGAGACAAGTTCATGTGCTTTTGGAACTAGCTAATGGTATAGCCAGCCCTGATCTAGAGGACACAAGGTTGGTTTTATTATAAGTTGTACAATTGAGAGTTATGCTGTTTTTTTTTCAGTAATGTGTCTGCTAGGCAAAAATGTGTGGAGAAACCTATGAGTGGTCTCGATTATCAACGAATTGAACAGGAGTTGCAGCAAAATATACATCCATCTTACACATTTCAATCGCCCGGTTTGCAGGGGATACAGGGATGGTCTACAGCTGCTTTAGGTATTTTTGATTATTGCTTTCAGCTAGTTCAAAACAAAACAACCTTTAAATTTAAAATTTTTAAATTGTGATGCAACACCTTACATAAACCTTGGCACAAATAGAAAAAAATCTGACATGAAAACTATCTGGGTTGCACTTTGGATTCGAATAAACTCAAGTAATTGATTGACAATAACAAAAAAAATTATTCCGAAACACATAGAAGAATTAAAAGAAAAGCCCTGGCAGAAAGAAAGGCTTACAAAGCTTATTTGGACATATTACTCCGCACGCACGCGGTCAACAGTTAAAATTTAAAAACGTTATATTTTTTTCTAAATAATTCAAATAAAATGGTCGTAAAAGGTTTGTACACACCATCAAACCCCCGCGAAAGAAAAATTCCCGTCTTCTCGTTGGCTGCAGTGTTTAACAAAACACCACTTCCACCATACAGGGTGACAATTTGAAAACTTACCACCCCCCATATTTTAGTAAATAAACGAGATATTTAAAAAAATTAAAATCCGTTTCGGTAATTCGGAGGGGGAATCACAATGACATAGTTGGCGACGCACCCCCTGCGCCCTAGCCACCCCAACTTTTAAATCTTAAATAGTGACTCCCCATGTGTGATACGTCATTGGAAAGCTCTGAAAAAATGCTTTCCAACCATACCAAATAGCATTCCATTTAGGTTAGTAATTATCGTGCAAATCAAAAAATAAACATGGAAAATCGTATTTAACTTGAACTTCCAAAGCCGACTCGACAGCAACTCATTTTTGATCGCCAGTTATAATCTATTCTCAAACTCTTGTCGAACCTTTTCAAATGTTGGTTTTGCAATATTTCGACATTCTTGAATTATTCTCTGTCTTAGTTCGTCTATGTTCGCCGGTTGCGTTTTAAATACGACAGATTTCAAATGTATCATATTAGTTTATTTTTTGATTTGCACGATAATTACTAACCTAAATGTAATGCTATTTGGTATGGTTGGAAAGCATTTTTTCAGAGCTTTCCAACGACGTATCACACATGGGGGGTCACTATTTAAGATTTAAAAGTTGGGGTGGCTGGGGCGCAGGGGGTTGGAGGGGGTGCGTCGCCAACTATGTCATTGTGATTCCCCCTCCGAATTACCGAAACGGATTTTGATTTTTTTAAATATCTCGTTTATTTACTAAGATATGGGGGGTGGTAAGTTTTCAAATTGTCACCCTGTATAATAATCTCCTTCAATGAAATTTGCAACCGCAAATATTAGACTTCATTAACGCCACCTTTCAAGGAACGCACCAAAACGTCCCCACCTCACCTCAAATGTTCTTACTTCTAACACCTCATCTAACTTGAACAATTACAAAGCGATAAAATTTAAACGAAGAATTAACACACAATTCTAAGAAAAAATAACAAATATAGCGCCCATAAGAAATAAAAAAATAGTAGCGTGTAGCTTCTGCATCGAGCGTGTTGTGTGTTATGGAAATTCTGATAACAGATCCACATTCTCCAAAAAAATTCCCATAGAAAGTGCTACCGAGACTCGTCCATTTGCGACCATTTAAATTATGAAAAATTTGACATTTTCAGTTTTTCGGCGATATTTTGAATATCAAAGATTTTTCAAAAATTTCAAATGGTTCAAATGTTTTTCACTCACAGAAAGGGCCAACTTTGCTCCTATTTAACTGACAATGTATTCCTCACCATTGATGATCCATGAATTTGGACCACCCTGTACATACCTTTTGGTTTCATTTGGGATTCTACAGCCAACTTTAGAGCCTTATGAACAGTAATCCATCCATTTAAATTTTAGTATGTTATCAGTGGAATCTTTTGTACCACATATTCAGCTAATTTGAATATGCCACTTGCACAACATTTGTGACACTAATGCTTCACAGCAGAGGTTATTAAGGGTTGTTCGCTGCATGTTACGGCGCGTCACATAGAAAAAAAATCAGAAACAGCGCAAATTAATATAATAATAATAATAAATTGTCTTTTATTGGATAGTGGATAAAATATATAAAACATAATAGAAGGAAAAGAAAAGATATAATTTTGACACAATCCAATGGGGCGCAGTTCAGATGGGGTACATGACCACACATCTGCTCTTCCACTTAACCCCTCCAATTTAATTAACTAGACAACAAAGTGGAATGAAACTGACTATATAATGATGATGTGAAACGTATGAAAAAAAAAATAATAATATTTCTTCCACTTCTTCACCGCCTTATTGAACTGCAATGCATAGCTTACCTGTTTTATGTTTACCTAATTGTTTTGTTTCCAGAGGAAAGTGATAGTGATGAAAATTACCTACCAATGCAAGGTGCTTCTATGGGCAGCGGAATCATGTGTGATAGTACTTTATCGGGTATCTCCAGTAGCATGGAATCGAGCCTTAGCAGTAGCATGATGAGTTCCTCAACCGAACCTAGTAGGAAAACTAGGCACAGAGGTAAGAGATAACTTATATAATGCCCTCTACGCGAAATACGTTTTTACAGTTAGCAACATTGACTCGGACCCGACAGCCGAAATTTCGCATTTTAACGTTACAGTTGCCTCTTTCGCTCTCGTGATTCTGCACGAGGATATTTTGACACTTTGTGCAGATCAAGATCAAATGCTGTTACCGTCGAGTATTCGGCAAATGCAGAACACCTCTGAACAATTTTTTGGCAATTTGGGTATTTTCGGAAATAAAGACTTCGAAAGTGCGAAAGTTCAATTTGAGAAGGCATGCTCTTTAAATCACCTAAGGTAAACTACGGCTTTGTCGTTTTGGTAACATATTGGTGTGCTTCAGATTGTTGGCGGCACCTTTGCATATTGAGGTTAATGAAACGACTACACTTTCTGCTTTTGCCATATCGGGTAAATTGACAGCGGCGAAGTTAGAGTTGCTAGAGTGTTTGAATTATGGAAAAGGAGAACGGGTTGAATATATCAACTTGCTCTGTTTCAACGAAAGTAGTGGATCGTTAGCAGGTGGTCCGCTTTCATCTAAGCCAAGCCTTAAATTAGCCTTCAAACATGTTGAGAAAACTGCTAAGACTGCCATTTCCAGACTGTCGTCTGTTCCAAAGACTGATTTAACGTAAGCGTTCCCATTTGCTGTGTCGCTTTTTAACTCTGCATCTTTCAGAATTACTTTAGAACCTTGTATAGTAGAAATCGATATAACAATTGTGGATAGAATATGTGCTATTTTAAATCCGCATCCAATTTGTGTAGTAATCAAACAGCCCACTAATGTATGGTCAACGGTACCAACTGCGACCACAATATCACCTCAACCGGAGACCCGCGTAGATTTTAAGATTGTGTCTCCATCTATTGATTTCAGATTAAGGTATGTAGCAAAATTCGTATCTTTGGGGTGACAGGGGGTGTTTTAGGTTTCCAATTCCAGACTTTAGGCCGGCGCACGATATGCAGAGGGTTCCTTGGTGGAAAAGAAATGTGCGGCCTGATTATCTTGTTTTTGTATTAAACGATTTTACATTTAATACGAATTGGTGCACAAGTCAACCTTGTCAAAAGTACATTTTCCAATGCGCCACGGGTGATATAAGTTACGTTGAAGCCGACACAGATATACTACATCCGATAGCGAGGCTGGGTACCATGGAGAAACAAACGAATTCTTTCCAAGATGGATCAAATGTACCAAGGTAATTTATTTTTGTGCTTCTGATTTCCTCAACTTATTGTGGTTTGATCTGGTTTAATGTTGTAAAAATTGTTGAGCAGCAATTTGTGATGTTTCACCATGTATAGGGTTGAAAAAGTTACCTTACATTTAGGTTGGTACGCCACTGTTTGTTGATATTTACTTACTCATTGACTTGTATGTATCTCGCTTACCTTAAGAGATAAGAAGTTGGTTAAATGGGGGCAAAGTTGCGAATTTCCGTCTTGAATAATCTGAAAAGAAATTTAAAATATCATCAATAGTTTTGAAAATATCGCAAAAAAACTAAACTTTCTGATTTTCGTTTTTCATGATAAACTAATCTTACTAGACACTTCTAATAAACACATTATTCAGAGACTTTTTAATGGAGATTTCGAATATGGCATTCCGTTTCTAATAACTTTTAAGATGACGGAGAAACACATGGCAACTTTAGTTTTTTTTATGTCAAAAACGGGATGGCATATTCAAAATCTCCATTAAAAAGTGTCTGAATAATGTGTTAATTAGAAATGTCTAGTACAATTAGATTCAGATATATATCCAAAACGTAATTTGGGTCCATTTATGACTAGGAAAATTGGGAAAGTTGTGCTCAGATAAAGCCCCAATTTTAACTATCCCATCGAGATCAAAATTGATACGTTACCTGAATTATACCTTTAAATCAAAAATACTGTCCAATCCAAGTAATACATCGTCCGCTTTATTTATGATGCAAACGTTATAGGTTACAATTTAAACAATATAAACAATTCCATTTAAATTTCGAATCCTCACTGAAAAATCTATCTTAAATTTAATACACGATTTGAACGAATATTCTAATGAAAAATTGAACTGTAAACTCCTATGTGCAAGCCATATAAAAGATTGTTCAGAGAAACGCAAACCTTCGTTATCTCGTTATCTTGAACCAGCTGGTGTGCCTGTGACGTCACACATGCACTTGCAGATAGGTAATATGATCCAAGTTTCCAAATAATTACGGAAAAGTAGAATGACGAAAGCAGGATCTTTAATTTGAATGGCAACTGCTTCATAAATACTGGTGTGTTAACGAAAGCTGTACATGCATGTAATGTACCACTCCTATCATTGTTAACGGCCTTCATCTTGTAGATATTTTAGTAATTCTGAACTTTTTTAGGTTGACTTTAAAAATCTATCCAAAAATTAAGTCAGAAATGGAGCTAGAACAAAATGTAGAAGTGGAACCAAGCATAATGAATCAGTCGATGTACGGAGCATTAGAGCAACATACAGAGGACCGTGGCCCTTTCAGCACTAAACGTATCGTTCATGAAAGCAACACTCACCATTACAAATCGCAGCAAGGTAAATATTGTATAATAAATAATGGAAATTTCTAAATGTAGTTGTAGAGGACACTGAGGAGCTTGTAATTCCTGGAGATAAGCAAGAGATGGCAGACTTTATTAGTGCCACAACACAAAATGCTCAAGTACACATAGAACTATCGTTACCGTCAGTCAGCTTGCAATTTATATCAAAGCACATATACGAACTCATTTATAATCGCATCAACAACGATTTGTTGCTTTGGGAACCTAGTTCGCCGAAACCGAAACCTGTGCAGGTTATTGATAGCTTATACACATTTGTTGCGCCTACTCTTGCCGATGGACAAGAATTGTTTTCGATGTGCAGAAGTGGTATAAAATTTGGTAAGAACCTTAGGTAATCGTAAGCAAAGGAGATAATTTTTTAAAATGTTAGATTCAGATTCGGATACTGATGAAGATGAGTCTGAGATAGGCGAAACGTTTTATTCTACATATGAACGGTCGAAATCACAAAGAAAACAATTAAGGGTCGTCGAACCGAAAGGACAGAGTTATTTAGTCCTTAACATACATATAGGAAATGGCCTTCTTTGTATGAATGTGCCGGTGCGTGATGTTGCTACAAATGTAATTCCAGGACAGCATGGAGAATTCTTGTTTAACGTTGAAGACGCCACCATTTTCACAGTGACGGGATATCGCGGCGATGATAACTTGGGTTTTGTAAGCGTACAGGCCAGCAACGCTCAACTATACCACTGTGGTAAGTTTATTCAACCCCTAATAAATTGACAGTTTCTCTCTAATAGTAAAAGCCATTACTTTAGAACACCTATAATTTAGATATGATATCGAGTCCCAGTCAGAGCCCGCCTTTGAAACAAGTTGGCACTGCTGTGCAGAGGCATTTGCATCCGACGATTTACAAATCGGAACCGGGCGTTTTAGTTAATTCCACTGACCGGTCGGTTAATCGTGATATGGTTTCGGTTGCTGTTCGCATTCAGGCCAACCATGAAACCCACCATGTGAAGGTGAGAAAGCACTTAGGGCCGGTTGCATAAACATATTTAAATCATGTTTCATCCTGATCCTGGTGTTAATAAACTCTAATAACGGTATAAACACACTAATTGTAGAGCCAATCAAATGCCTTAAGACTCCAATAAGCTAAATTAATTTGGGTTGATACCCCAAATATAAAAGTTCCACTATTTTATCAAAAATTATCCCATGTTAACACCGGACTGTTTTTGTTTGTGCAACTGGACCTTAAGATGATTAAGGTTTGAAAGTGTTTAGTTATTGCTTCACACTGAAGGTGGCATTGATGTTGGTGCAAATAAATGTTTTTTATGAATGTGTACCACATGCTTCACTGATATAGCTCTCATCAAATTATTATGAGATTTAACGCTTTTCACTAGTCAATTAAAAGTATATCAGTGATAACGTATCAGGATTTTATCAACAAAAAAGAACCCAATATGATAAATTCTTAGCTGATGTTCAACGGATGGACCAACTCCATGTGAAAATGTAGTATGTATGCAAATCCAAGTTGCATTTATTACTAAGACACAATAAATTATGTAACCAATGGCCGTTTGCGTCAACGTTTTTAAGCCATGTTTCAGATTAAAGATAACTATTTTCTGAGTTTCAGATTGTAAGGTTATGCAGAATTTATCACTAAAGTTGTATTATAGTTTTCGTTTAGCAGTAGGTAATTAAACATTTTTGTGTTGTCTTTGAATTTGATATTTGTGTTTTATAATTCTTGTGATCAGATATTATTAATTTCAGAAGTAGTCTCCTCTCAGGTCCATGTACCAAGGCCTAAACCTAATCATACTATCTAGTTTTAGTCTTACTTCATTTGGATGTCAATATCTCGAATCCTACTGGGAACAGCATCTTGTAGCATTCCCAGTCTTGGCAGGTTATTTGCCTCACAGTGGCACAGTATATGGAGAGGAGTTTCTTCTTTCTCCTGACACCCCCTCTGGCTCTGTACCATTACAACAGGCTTACCAATTGCAGAGTGACCCGCATAATACTTTTTACAGGCGCTTCCTGTCTTAATAATAAATTGTTCTATACTACTCAGATACCTAACGAATTAGGAAAACCTAATTGCGAGTAGCCGGCAGAATGCTCGAAACTGATCTAAGGGAATTCCCATCTCTGTCACGTATGAAAAATTCCTACCTCAGCCCAGGTTTGAACACCCGACCTCCGCCTATGTAGTCCAACGCTCCACCACTGAGCTACACAGTCGGTGTATGTCTTGTAAAACAGTGGTTCTCAACCTTTTTAGCGCATTTCCACAAAAATTAAAAAAAATGCGCTATTGTGGCCACTCTGTCACATTTCTAACTAAGAAGCATTTAAAATGCTGGCGGCGATGGTTCATGATTGATTCGGATAACGCAAATAGAAGATGCGGGTAGCGACGGCCGCATTTTGAAAACACTCAAAAAAGTATCGCCAGCATATTAAATGCTTCTTGGTTTGATATCTGCAATTTAGAAAGCATTACAAATTCAAAAAACTGCACTTTCTGAATGTACACACAGCAGAATAATTTACAAATTACGGCTGTTATTATTTTATAATGCATCGTGTTTCATTTGTTTAATTTTCAAAGGCCTACCTAAAAGTGTAGGGTGCTTTCCAAACAATCTTTCGCGCCATCGACAAATACCGGAAATACATCAAAAGTAAATTTAAAATACAATTTAAGCATTTTTATTAATTAATTAATTAATCAATCTCATTTTATGAATATTTGAGGTTAGGAACGAGATTTTGAAAAACGGTTTTCACTGGCCTCGTTGGATGTTAATTGGCTACTTTTTCATAAAGAAAAAGTCATATCATTCCATTTCATTTTTTTTGGATTTTGAGTCATGGTGTTAAAACTAGACCCCTGGCGGAGAAGGATTCAACTAAATTAAGGGTGTAATCCAGTAGTACAACATTTATGCGAAAATAGTGCGATTTATATTTCGTCTCAATTCTGTAAAACATGAGATGAAAGACGGGGCTAATTTTTTTCATGTAAATTATACATTTAAAAAGTATGCTACAGAACAAAATTTTAATATTTAAGAAAAAACAATTTTTTAGAGCACTGCCAATAAAAAGTGAACTTTTATAGGTAAAATTATTTTAAAAATCTCCCTGTAGCATACTCAGAAAAAACATTAGCAAACCATAGAGCCATCAACCAAACTTTCAAATAAATTACAAAAAATTTTAGACGAAATATTCATTCGAAATTTTTTACGAAAACTTATAGCGTTTAGTGAAGTCATTCTCCATTTATAAACGTACAGTAGGCAACACATCATACGGCAGGCCTGTCTTCATTAGCGGCATTGTTGCGTTTATTGGGACTAATTTAGAAATAGAAACCGGATTCATTAGAACGTATTGTAATTCCATAATATACTGGGTAATAGAATTCACACGGAAAATGTGATTTATTTTTGGGTGAATTAAAAGTTGGGTCTTTTCTGACGTTTTTTGTAACACCCCTAAAATTTTAGTGTGATAAAAATTTGAGATTATTCCCATGTAGCATCCTTCGGAAAGAGACATAGTTTGCGAAAAAAGCGTTAGTTCTCATTTATTTTGTGTTGTTCTCGAATGATTGAAAAACAGGACCTAATTGGTTTTTGGTGGATTTGATTTAAAGGGGAAACGCGTGGTCTCTACCTTAACGGTGGTAGGCCCATTTAGTGACAAATAATCTGTTTTGAATGTAGCTTTTAACTGTGGTCAAACTATTCCAAGGTATTTATTACCGAGTTTATTACTTCACTCGTTCTTGCATATCTTTAATATTCTATCCATGTTGGTGAGGTTAGGGTACGATATAGAGAAAAAAAACGTCTAGGACATATCCGATGTAAAATTTTATAAGGAATTATTTAGGTTCTATCCATTTTCCTCGTCAGGGTAACAGTTTTCGAGAAAAATTCAAAATACCAGGACGAGGTCACACCATGGGATGGTTTTTTAACCAAAAGAGGATGAAAATGGCAGATTATTCAACAATCATTATAACGAAATTTTTGATTCTCTCCCTCTCCGGGAGAACAATTTCAAATTTTGATTTTACCATTTAATAATGACGTTTATTACTTTTTTGATAGCCCTAACAATTACTGAGATATAAATGTGGCGAAAATGAGACACCCGGTACCTACACATCTAGGCATCCACTGTGATGCACAGCTGATTGAAGGAGAGGTAAATGGATTACATGGAAGTAAATGTTTTACCAACTGTTTAACCCCCGGGTTAGGAAATATCATTCAAACAAAAATTCAATTTAACGAAATTACAATGCCCTTAGAGCTAATCATAGGTCTCTTGTTAAGTTACATGTGAACAATACGCCTTACTCGCGCGAGAGCGACAGGATTATCATTTCTTTTAAATATCTTGCCAGGAAAAGATAACTTACACACATTAACTTCTGAAATGAAAGGTTCTTTCTTTTAGGTATTGCCGCAGACCGCAGAAATTAATTTTTCCTGCATTTGAACTCCACCCTTGCGAATAACCAGACGATCAAACAATATAAATCGAGGACCTTCATATTTTTGGCATAAAATAGTTTCCATTTCTTCTGGTTTAGGCAAAAAAGATGTTTTCACTCCAATCAAGACTAACAGTTAATCTGTGAGCACAAGCGCCAGTGTATCAGTCGACTTCTTTAATTTTTCATTACCACTATCAAATAAATCGTGAAAAACCTAAAAACGCAGTATAAGTAACCATTAAATTTTCAACTTAGAAAGTATAAAAATTCCTCTTGTATTTTTACCCTCATTTTGTAAGGGTTGTTTAAATCCTTCACTTTACGATAATCGCCTGCTCTAAAATTATTTCACATAGGCGCTCTCAAAGTTCGACGCACCCCAGGACGCATTATCTGCCTCTGCCTAAAACAAAAAAAAATTCTTAAACTTAATGAAAAAGAACCTAATTTTCTGCCATGTTTTATTAGGTAGGTGCTTCAGTGTTCGTAATAAAAGCAAATAGGGAAGCTTATCAAAATCAGGTGAATAGTGGAAATGGGAATATTTTTTTAATTAACGTTAACGTTAATCCAGAATTAACGTTTAAACTTACTCTTGTATTTCAAAGACGAAATTGCAGTTAAACTAAAATACTTACATCTATTGTTTACACTGACCTAAGACTTATGACGTGATTCGCTCTATGGATGTTGACGCAAAACGAAGAGATGTTCTAAAGATTTGTTATGCATGTGTCTAATTAAGCAGCTGCTTTGAATTTGTCATTTATTTAAAACTTTTCTTATCTTCTGTTGGTATAAAAACAATGCTCTGTATCATCTATTCTTATCTGTTAATTTTTTAAAATTTTTATGCGTGTTTCTTTATAAAGTGTTCCATTGTAATTGCACCGAACTGCATGAACTAAATCTACATCGTAGTAAAAATGTAAACAAGATGCCATTGGCAAAAATGTTTTTGTGAGATAAACGCCATTATTTATCTATTTTGCTATTTCATGAATTATACTTTGATACAACAAATTTGGAAAACGCCCAATTGTAATTTTTAGAAATTAGTCAGTTTCTCATGGAACGTTTTTGTTGTTTCATTGCTCTAGTTCGAAGTTGACAATGCGGTCAAAAAAGTAAAAAATAAACAAACTCACAAAAATTCTTAAGATTTGAAGGGGATTTGGTCATTTGCAGGTGTGGACGTAAATAGTCTCACTCTCCGGAGGGCCGAGGGGGATCGTATGATAACCCATTTTGAAGGCCTGATTATAGTTCACTTCGTGAGTTTCAAGTGTAATTTATTTTTTCTAAAATTTAGATAGAAAAATTTGCTGTGGACCAGCACACTGACGCATGCGGGATTCTGCCCAAAAGCTTTTCAGCTCTTTTATGTCTTAAGAGTATGTGTAGCAAATTTGGTTTCAATCGGTTCAGCCGTTTAACCAGAAATGGGCGTACCGACAGAAAGATTGACAGACAAACATACCAATATCACCTTGTTTGATTCGGATTCCTGGTGCTTCAAAACGTGATAAAAATGTGGTTTTACCCCAACGCAGTACCTCCTTACAAACGTGGGGGTGGTAAAAAACGAATTAGGAAGATACTTTTAAGACGTTTGATATTTTTCATGGTAAAAGTCTCATTTGAGTGCTCGAAAAAATCAGAAGTAGTTCATTTTAGAAACAATAAATTTCAATGAATTGTTGTCTAGGGTTACAAGTGGGCACTTGAAGCCGCTTCCAACAATATCAAACACGACTCATTTTGCTAATGTTTGCTGCAACACAATTAACTATGGTTAATAATACTCAATCTCAAAAGGCACACAAAAGTGTCAAGTAACAATACGGCGTGCGCCCCGAGAGGAATTAAAGAAACCTCTGCACGACCTGGAGCGGCAAAACAAAGAACTATTGTAATAATAAATCTATAACACTTGGAACAAATTTACTACAGGAACTACTTAACTAGTGGATTACAAAAAAAAACCAGATGACATGGCGTAAGAATTTAAAAAGAGCAGAAGTGAAATAGTTACTTAGGCGGAATGTAAATCCGAAATATCAACCGGCAAGAAAATACAACTTCTCCTTTACCTAGTTTCCAAAGTCAACACCAGGTGGCAAGGGACCTTGACCTGAGCCAGATTCGGTCTAGATATTTGCACTAGCACAATGTACCACAATATGTATACAGGGTTCTTATGCTTCAGGACTACAGCAAGATTCTTTTCTTTTAGACTGTTAGAGTAGCTCTAGGAATAAGTAAGGCAACATTGAAACATCGCGTCTGCCAAGAACCAAACAGTTGGATAACGCAGATGATAGATATTTTTAACGTTTTGGATTACCCCATTCCGGGATATCACGCAAAGGAAGTACTGACTGAATTGCATCTTCACGTTTGGGATTGTGCCATCGATTATAGGTAGTACTTACATCACGGTTAGTGGGAAACATTCATTGCTGTGTTACAGACCGCTGTATTTACCAATTAGGTCAGTGGTAACGATGGATAATTTCACAATGTCTTCCCATTTGTCTGCCCAAGCAAATACGTCAACTTTACGATTTATTTTTGAGGATTGCGCACTCTTTCTTAGCGAAAAGTCGCCACCGAAAGCCGGCGTACCTTCCCTCACGCCCATCGATCTCAAGCGCGATTACATAAATGTAATTGATGTGGGGTTATTCGAGTTAAGCCTGAAAACTACTGATAGGGTAAGTGTAGTTTACTACTCTGCAAACTGTTTAACATGTATTCCACTGTAGACATCTGGAATTAACCCCCACATTGATTTACGTGCTTCTAATAATATAGTACACATTCGCACATGTGCAGATAGCGGTCGTGCCTTAACTCAATTAATCACTTACTTTGCGGGAGACGGTGATTTAATTTCAATTGAAACAAGCTACTCAGTACCTAGCAATTTTTCCAGTCCGAGACATCAACCGGAACAGGAACTTGTGAACGTTGAACCTCAAGATATTAGCAATTTATCAAAAAGTCAGCATCAACATGTTAACGATCTACTTGGCGAAGCTATGAAGGAAAGTGTCAGTGTTGAAGGTAAGTGCAAACTATGTTGTGTTTTCCTTTTCAAGATAATTTTGTAGATGAATCGGATGAAATCAATAACTTAGGTGCCAAAATGTTCTTTTTTCCCGATGAAAGTAATCCAATTGTGGCGCTGGGGCAGCCTCCATTGCAGGTTACTCGTGAACTTGGTGATGTCGCATTTCGTTCGAACAAAAGTAGTGATACAGATGATGACTTTTGTTTTGTTGGCGACGAGGCTGGTTTAGGCATTTTGGTTAGTACTCACTTTTTTCTATCGACAAAAATAAGTGCTTATTTACAGCCACGAAATGGAATTCCCGAAATAAGGTGGTTAACTGATGATGGCTTGAGGATAATTGATAATCACTTCTCTATACCCGTTGGAAAAACGGATCTTCTGAAACCACCCAAAAATTTTCCAACACCCGTAATGAGGTATACCTTGTGCGAAATGAGCGTTGTTTGGCATATGTATGGAGGAAATGATTTCAAATCGGACAACAAACAAAAGAAAAGTGTCAATTTTTCTGACCTGCGCACAGGTGTTTGTTACTCAAATAGTCGTAGTGGGGAAGTGATTTTCACAAGCACCCAGAAGAAAAAAACGAATGTCACGTGGCAAGTTCAAGGTGGTGCAAACCGTGATCATGATGTCTTGATGGAGTTACAACTGAACAAGGTACGGTTTGTTTAAAAGGAAATGCTAAGTAAAATTGGATACTTTTAGGTGCGATTCCAACACGAAGTGTACCCTGAAAACACATCTCAGGCATCTCGACAAGTACTCCTCGTTAGTGAGTTAGAAATCAGGGATCGTTTAGCGTCAAGTCAAATTAATAAGTTTTTATATCAGTACACTAGCCAATCTCGACCAAAGCAGTCACATGCTCATATGGTAAGACCTATTTTTGCTTTCTTATGACATTTACACCAGTATTCCACAAATTCTATTCACAAGGGGAGCCCGACCACGCAGCGCTTAAGCACACCAAAGGCCCATTGTGCCTACCTCCTTTCTTTCTCAACTAGGTTCACAGCCTGGAGTTTATTTAATCCCGTTTTTTATTTAAAAAGTGATTCTCCAACTCGAAAATGTTCCTTCGAATAAATTTTGTCACTGGTAAATAAATGACCATATTATGAATCAAACTGCCAAAAAGTTTTTCTTGGTCCCGGAATTTCATGTTATTCCTCAATTCGCACACATATAAAATTGCAGATAACTCGCCATTAGTTGCAAGCCCAAATTAACTTAAACTTTTCTCCACGGCCTATTTGACCTTTTGGAGTATTCGCTATAGTTGATATATTTTTACCCAAAATTAAACTGTTAATTCTTTACTACTACTCTAATAAATTTCACTCAATTAATGCACGTTTTGGTTCGTGAATTTCGACCGCAAATCTTCACACATACGCGAAATAAAATCTCTCGTACACAAAATGGTTCGCGAAAATCAACTTGAATAAATTTTCAAATTCACGCATTAGTTTTCGAATCTATAATTTTAACACTTCCAAATGGTACATGTCGACTCTGGGAAATCAAGCAAGAATCTCTGCCACTTCTTTGGCTATTTGAATCTCGCCCACGAGAAAAACAGAAAATAGACTTATTTCTGAACGCAGATGACCTCGACTAACATTAACAACCAATAGAAAACCCGCATTTCCGTGACGTGCTTGGCGTTAAACGAAATGAAACTTTTTGATCTCGGGAGATCATGGCTTTCCGCAATACGTTTCTTAGTATCGCTTTTTATCGCCAGCCGTACTTTTGTCCACGTGCGCTATGAAGCGGTACATGTGGAAATTTCCCATGTTAACCAGAATATAAATTCAAGACCATAACCTTCATAATCGTATTAATTAAAAACGGATGGTACCATAGTGAATCATCACACTACAATAACATTACGGGTAGGTTTGGACCATCTGAAAATATAGGTTTTTGGTTGAAAAATTGAGACTTGCACTCATGAATAGGTCGAGAAGTATTGACTTTCACAAAACACTTTATAGAACAAAACTTGCTTAGAATTAGTGGCCACCCCCTGGCTACGGGCGTGGCAAATGGCACAGCTCTAATCCAATCCACACAGGAGTTTTCCAATATCTCTCTTGTGTAAACTTTAGTCAGTGGAGGTGATTGGTGTTTATGTCTGAACTTTCAAATACAGGTGGCTATTTTGTTTCAAACTTACAATTAAACAAATTGGTTTGGAAACTTTAGAATGGGAATCTAAGAATATAATTTTTTAGATTGTAATTAAAGCTATACATATCCGTCCTGACCCCAAATTGAAAACTCAGGAATGCTGTTTGAAAATATCGTTGCTACCTCTACGACTGAACATTGATCAAGACTCTTTATTATTTTTGATTGGATTTTTTAGTGAATTAAGTGGAGAAACCCCAAAGAATGGTAAATTCATGCGCTATATGTATACCAACCGATAGTATAAAAATTCATTTTCAGAGGAATTACAGAACCCTTCCTCAAAGCATAGCACGCCGACACATCAACCTCCCATAATGACCATCAAAGTAGAAAATGAAGAAGAAATAGTGGAGCAAGCGCAAAAAATGGTGGACGATAATCTACTTATACTTTTAGAGGAAAATAAAGCACTAGAAGAGTCCGGTGAAGTTTCAAAGACAACACCGGCCAGCATTGAGGATAGTCCCCCTGTCTACTTTAGAAATGTGATATTTTCCCCAGAAGTTCCTATAAGATTGGATTACCAAGGCAAACGAGTCGACATGACTCACGGCCCGTTACCCGGATTACTAATGGGCTTAGGTCAACTTAACTGTTCAGAATTGAAACTGAAACGACTTTCGCATCGACACGGATTATTAGGATTAGAAAAATTAGTTAGTTACTGTTTACACGAATGGCTTCACGACATTAAAAAGAATCAACTTCCCAGTTTACTGGGAGGCGTTGGTCCCATGCACTCGGTCGTTCAACTGTGTAAGTTTCCTTTGTTTTTCAAGGTTAAGTATTTACCAAGTTAATTTCAGTTCAAGGAATTCGCGATCTCTTTTGGTTACCCATCGAACAGTACCAGAAGGACGGTCGCATTGTTAGAGGTCTGCAACGTGGTGCCAATAGCTTTACCACTTCAACCGCAATGGCGGCTTTGGAACTAACCTCTAGGATTATTCATTTAATTCAGGTAAATCGAATTTCAAGCTATTTCGAATTTTACACAGAATTTTTAGATAACTGCAGAGACCGCGTATGATATGGTTTCGCCAGGTCCGAGTGTGAGACGGAGAACAAAAAGTAAAGGTCGTAAGAAGAGATATGCTCAACCGCAGGATATTAGAGAGGGAATGGCGAATGCGTATATGTTGGTTAAGGAGGTAAGACAAAATTTGTCCATTTTTAGTTATGGTATTTGGTATTGCTATAGTATAGACTTTGATATTAGCTGTTTGCTAGGGCATGGTGAATTAATGAGTAATGATACAAACATTTTTTTCTTAGTCCTATATCATTTTTCACCAATTGATTACTGTTCAATATACAGTGTGAGTCTCTAACTTGAAATAAATTCAGAAAATCAAGTTTTTTTTAGAAATATGCGATTAGTTTTTTGTTTTTTTGCATTATTTTTGGACTTTATAATAATAAGTGGGCGTGGTTTCAGCCAAGACTGCTCTACCAACCCAACCCACTGTACATTTATATCCATGCCCGAACCTTGATTCGAACCGGGGACCCTTAGTACCGAAGTCGCGCTTCTACGCCACTGCACCACACAGGCGGCACTCTTTGACGTAGTAAAATTTTATACTGGGGGTCCCAAATTTGAGATATGACGTCACCGACTATTTTTTTAAATTGCAACCCTATTTTTTTACGACTATTCTTAAAGGGTATATCAAGTTACACATATCTGCCAAATTTGTAGCGCTGAATTCAAATAACCCTGTCTTTTTGTAGAAGGAGCGTGGGCTCCGGTACACTTTAGTAAGTGTGACCCATATGATTATATGGTACAATCACAAATTGTGGAACTTTTTTGTGCGTAGTTGCCAAACAAAACATTTTGGAAAAAATATTTGTTTCAGGCGAACAATTTTTGTTTGACATACACCTATATACCAGATCAGGTGTTTAGGTACCACATGACTGTCAAACATTATACGGATTTCTGTACATCTGTACATTTCAATTTCAGGGTATTGGAGAGACTGCAGACAACTTGGTTCGAGTAGCATCTCACGAACACGAACAGAAAGGTTACAGTGGCGCAGTGGGCGGAGTTTTACGACAGATACCGCCAACAGTAGTAAAACCCATTATAATCGCAACAGAAGCCACTAACAACGTATTGGGTGGAATGCAAAGTCAGTTAGTGCCCGATGCTCGTAGGGAAGCAAAACAAAAATGGAGAACTGACGATGACGGATAAACACAAACAACCTAATAGGTCATTCAGTTTTCCTAACTATAATTAAGAGCAGGCGTAGGTGTACATGACTTTTAAATTAAAATCTCATCTTTGTCGTAGTCTTCCGATACAAATTCCAAATTGGCAAAGATAGAAACGCATTTTAGGCAGATATGTTCATATGTTTCTCTCCATCTGCTTTGGTTTTCAAACAAATCTGTACCCCTTGCCTGCTCTTCCATTTCAGTCATACTTTAAAAATTTTTATAATATATGTTATTAGTTCTAATTTAAAGTTTATATTCTTTTTGATCGTTTTTGTACATTTATAAATACCATATTAAACGAATAAGGAACCTTTGCATGTGAAGATTATATGGTGCTTTATATTTTGTGTATTGTGTATATCAGACAAAAATGAGAATTTAATAACCAGAAACTGAAGAGGTGTACATAATGTAATTTATGTTATGTAAGTGTAGAGTATAAGTATTTATGTTTTTTACTCGAGTTATTATGAACAATGCTAGTTCTGTAAGTGCTTTTCAACAATATCTGCAATTAGATCCAATATGATCAATATGAAAGTATTAATTATATCGATTGTTTTGATTTCAGAACGGTCGTGATTGCAAGAACATCCGTGAACATTATTGCAATGTTATAATGTGATAGGTAGATAGCAGAAATATTTAGTTGTAGGTGTAATAGTACTTTTTTTTATTATTTTTGTGCTGTGCAATATCAAATAATAATTGTTTTTAATAGTTTTATTAATTGCAGACTATAAACTCGCATTGAAGATAAGGTCACTTCAGTCATTTCAGGTCTCTTGAGTGCAATGCCTGGAAGGTAAGATGTTTTGTTGGGGCTTGTACCTAACATAAGTTATAAATGCCCTTTCAACTCAAGAATAACCTTTATGAAATCAAAAAGTCATTGTTGAGTCCTAATAACCAAGGGTGGTTACAATAAAAACTTTAAGGGTTCATCTGACCTCAAAAGTTTTGTTTTTATGAACGGGATTCACCTGTAACCGTTTCTACAATTAAAATCTTGCTCAAATAGATCTTCGGTGGCACAATTGACAATAACGTCCATGCATGAAGGCCCATACCTATTTAACTATCTGTGCTTTTGCTACATTTCGAAGAAAAAATGCAAACGAACAATTAGTTTGTTGGAAAAAACGCCTACGTGCAACCTCTTGTGGTGTAAATAATGATGAATTACATCTACAGAGACTCTCAAAGAACTTACGATAGTTTTTGACTTACCCTATACTTACAATTTGTAACTCTGTGGTAAGAGGCAGGGCCATCTAACTTTCATGTCGAAATGAAGAACGCTTCGCTCGCACCACTTTCGAATCGGCAGCAATTGGGACATGAAACAATCGGGAAGGGAATGAATAAAACAATGTTTATGATTTATGTACACCCCAAGAAATATAAACAAATCAATTTAGCATGAAAACACAATTTAGACAAAACAACGCTTAAAAGGGTAGGTACATTAAAGATAGCCAAAAGGACATATGGCTGTACTCCAGTATGAGCTACCTACCCTTAATTACACCATTCATATTAAAGTCGATTATCACACGAGCAAAATCCTCATACTAAACCATAGACATATGGCATATGTCCATTGTTATAAATTCAATGATATGTCTATGTACTAAACAGACGAAAAATTAATTAGACGGGCTCCCCTTTCCTATTTATGCTAAGTCCGCACGAGATGATAAGGCACCACGATACAGCGAAGAATCGGAACTGTATGGAATAAACGGTTAGGCAACACATACTATACTCACTAATGATGTACTTTCGGTTGAATCATTGAATTTATAATTGAATACTTAATGAATACTTAATAAAATAATATAAAAGCATAACCACCTGCACAGTATATCCAAAGAGTATGGTTACTCTTTGGTATAACGAGCAAACATAATTCAGTGACAATATAGGTACGAGGTACCTATAAAAACAAAGCTTAGAGCACGCCAAGCTTCAATAAACCAATATTGGCATTTTATGCGCAATGTAAACAGGTGATGTAATAAATTCTGACATGAAATTCCAAAATTGATGGTTAGTGCGCGACAGAAAAACATATCATTTCCCTTTTCTAAACATTGCGAAACCTGGTACGCGTGCCATTACCACAGATTTAAACACATCTGTGCCATTACTCGAAAACTACTGTATTACTGTAAGAAAATTCAGTGACAAAGTTATTGCCCAAACTTTGTCTTGAACGATTTTCATTGGCATTTGCGCAGAAGGGTCTCTTGAATTTCCTTCGACTGTAAAGTTGGTTGCCTAACGGTAGCTGGGAATTGAAATAAATTCAATGGCTAGGGTTACAATTCTCATCAATCACAAGATATTGAACCTGAAATCGCAATATTGATCTAAATTGCGTTACTTTGTATTATATCAATTCAAACAAAATTTAGGTTCAACCAAAAACAGCGACAATCTTTTTAAATACGACTGAATAAAATATGCAAAACTGCAAAGGTTCATAATGTCCATTGTTGGTGGTCTCACTATACAAAATAAAACTGAAATGGATATTGATTATATAAACACAGTTCTTAATTACAGCATAATGATAATTATCTCCGCGACCAAACGCATAAGATGGCATCGAAGTAGGGCTCGTATTTGGGCGAAATCTTCTGTAACGTGTCGTTTGAGATAAATTGCAACGTCCGACGTGCCGATAGTTCAAATCAGGGACGTTTTTGAATTTTTGAGATTCATACGTCTGACGCGGTGCGGCTTGTACGCATGCGCTGACGCAATGACATATTTTCTGAAACGCCAGCCGTGACGTATTGTTCTTTGTTTTTTTTCCTGGAGGTTCAATTGATAGTGTTTAGAATAATGGAAAACCAGGAGTTATTGTTGAGTTTTCTTTTAGAGGAGAGGAAAACGAAGAACAGGAATTAATTTCAGAAGAGATACTGCGCAGAAGAAATGCACCAGTCCATCAGCTATATTTAAAACGCGACGAGAAGAGGGATTTTGTAATATTCTGGATGATTCCAAGTTTCGCGACTTGTTTAGACTTAAGTATAGCCCAGTTTAACTTCGCCCTCGATCTAATAAAAGATCAAATTCGAACAGATTCGTCCAACAGATACGTACCCGTACCCCGTACCCTTCCCGCTGAAGAAAAACTGGTCGTAACACTTAGGTAAGTAAATACACTTATTTTCCAAAAAATTACAATCATGTAGGAAAGGTCAAAATTATGTAAGAAAAATTACAACTGTTGGTATAGCTTGTTCTTTGACCATATTGTCATAAGAACTGCTGAGTCCTGCAGGAGACGGTAAGAAACTTTATGCCACTGTTTCCACTAATAACTCGCGTCTTCACTTATATATATTTTGGGAGGTCATGAATCATGATGACCAGCAAATAGCACTGCGTCTGCTGCTAAACTGCTCTGATGATAGCGGTAGTGACGCGCGGCTGTAACTGAAGACGGTCGCTGCATGCTGGTTAGAACATGCTTCCATTGCTTTCTGTTGAGGCTGTGGATTGCATCAGACGCTTCATAGGAAACGTACCTGAAATGTGCTTGACATTTCAAACTATTGACCAATCATAAGCATCGGATGACCGTATCGTTGGATTTCGTATTCATGTGAATCCAGCTTTAGTATTTTCAAATGGACAAAAGTTAATTGTCAAAATGCTAGGATACCATGGTTACCTAACAATATTGATTTATTCCCTGTGTCATTACCAACGTTGTGAATATGTCGGAATCTGAAGAGAATACCGAAGAAAATGAGGACGAAGAGGAAGAAGCAGAAGAAGAGCTGGAGCAGTTGGTCGAAGAAGAAGAGGAAAAATTTGTTTCGATTTTTGAAATATTGGACGCACCTCGCGTTCTACCGGAACCGATCACTTTAACTTTAGACCACGTTAAACAAATTCGAAGCGAACTTGGAATTATAACATTGTGTTGGCCTGACATCAAGAATCCTAATTTTGAAAATCGTATTACATTCCCGAAACGGTACGTTGAAAACAGTAATAAAGAAAAATTGCTTTTGCTGTACGCGGAGAACTTTCGAAGACAATTTAATCATCTGCATCCACATCGCAAGCCACTTCTATTGGCGTGCCCGAATGAAGTAGGAGTTATGGTAAGTACTTTGCTTGATTTAGACCATATTCATATTCTTCGTGTAGGCACTATACAGTAAAATATAAACGTTTACGATTTAAATTTCGAAACTTTAGGGTTGTTAAAGACAAATAGCTATACTATTACTTAGTGCTTGTCTCTCTTCAAGATGTACGGGCATTTTTACTATACAGAAATATTCCGTTATTTAGTATTTTTGAAAATAAAGAAATAGTTTTGTTTCCTTTCCATTTATAGAAAATGTACCTTACAAAGTAAAACCACAGATTTAAATATACTAACCACAGATTTAATGGTAAAACAATTGTATGTAATGCCATTGAATTTATAAATAAATTCAATGGTAATACCATTGAATTTATAACTATAAATTCAATGGTAATACATATACAATGGTAAAACTAAGTTACTTTTTTGCTTTCAAAAATGTAACTTTATAACTAGGTAGTTCCATTTTAAAAGTAACTATCACAGCTATGAATTTTCCAAATTACAAAAATGATAAAAGGGGTTCATTACTTACTGTTGTAAATAAGGTTTTTTGTAATCTATAGCCGCACTTCGCGATCGCATTTTAGCAATCTATGTAGGTACGCGCTATGTTGATTGTCTAACGGTAGGCGTTGCGTTTGCACCATGTTTTGCTACTTATTTTACGAATCTCACTTATCTGCCTACTCAGTAGCATAGAGGAAATACAATTTTCTACTATTTCTACAATTCTGCTACTAGTAACCTAGTACATAGTTTACTATAATAAAAGTACCTATAATGCATAAAAAAATCACAATTTAATAAAAAATAATGCGTTTAATACTATACACACAGGAATAATTCGGTAATAATTTTAATTTCACTTTCACACGTTTTATAAACGCTAATTAGTACCACAGATTTAAATAGTAGGGGAAGTATGCCTGAGACGGCATAGTTGATGAGATGGCATACTACTAGCATTTCTGAATTCCTTTCAAATTTTCCGCCTTTAAAACTCTCAAACCATAGAGTAAAGTGTGAGTCATGTTCTGCGTAAATCCCATAACGGCCAGGCATCTTAATCGCAATTTGTGCGCATTTGACTAAAGCGACTGTGCGTGAATATTTGCGTACGTGAGATATATCTGTAAAAATCTCGTTCATCAAATAAATATAAGGTGGGTTCGAAATTATGTATAGTTGCATATGGTTTTAAGAAACTTACTGACACTTTATTGTGTCTTGTAAGAATGTTTTTGTTTTTGTGTAACTAAAATTAAACGAACATGCAATTTGGGGTGAGACGGCATACAACATCAATGGGTGAGTTGACATATGCCGTCTCATCAACAAGCAGTAGCTACCAAATAGGTAGTTAGTTAGATCATAGTTTTCTAGATATCCCGTTAATTTTTAGACATGGGGCGCTATAAAAGACAATCATCAAGACATTCTTGGGATGAGGGAAATATGAAGCAAGCCATAGTTGCCGTTCGTGAAAAAAAAATGGGTTGGCTCTTAGCGTCAAAAACGTTTAACGTTCCCTTCACAACACTAAGGCGTCGCGCTGCCAAAGTTGAAGGTTGGAAGAAAGACTACATGGGAGGCCATAAAGTGACGTTCAATGAAGATTTGGAAAGAGAAATAGTCCAACACTTAAGAAATTTAGAATCCCGATTTTTTGGTTTAACTGCAAAAGATGTGAGAAGCCTAGCTTATCAGATAGCTGAAACTAAGAAAATACCTCACAGATTTTCATCCTCTAAGAAAATGGCCGGTTGGGATTGGCTAAGGGGGTTTAGGCAACGAAACCCAACTATATCACTTAGAACTCCTGAGTCTACATCGGCTGCTAGGGCCAGTGCTTTCAACAGAGAGCAAATTAAAAAATATTTCAAAAAGTTGGCCGAAGTATTAGACACATATAAATTTGAACCAAACGATATATGGAATGTGGACGAGTCTGGCTTCTCTACCGTTCCCTCTCGAAATAGTAAAATTTTCGCTACAAAGGGGAGAAAGCAGGTTGGGATTCTCACTAGTGCTGAACGGGGACAACACTTTACGGTCGCGTGTTGCATGAATGTCATAGGCACATTCGTACCACCGGCTATTATTTTTCCAAGGAAGAATATGAAGTATGAATTAATGGATGGTGCTCCTACAGGTTCGGTTGGTTTCGCACAGGAAAATGGTTGGATGAACGGAGAGGTTTTTTTGAAATGGATGAAACATTTCATCAAATTTGCAAAACCAACTGCGGAAAAGAAGGTGCTGCTCCTCTTGGATGGCCATAGCAGCCATAAAAACCTGGATGTTTTGTTGCTCGCGAAGGAGTCTGGAGTTGTGATGTTCTGTTTCCCACCACATTGCACCCACAGGGTGCAGCCACTTGATGTCAGCTTCTACGGACCACTAACCACATTTTACAACCAAGAGTTAAATAACTGGTTGAGAAACCACCCAGGACGAACTGTCACTCATTTTCAGGTAACTAACATATTTAATGAAGCTTATGTTAAAGCGGCAACTGCTAAAAATGCCCCAAATGGATATTCTGCCACGGGAATATTTCCGTATAATCCAGATATATTCCCAGACCATATGTTTGCTCCTGCAGAGGTCACTAATGTTCCTGAGAGAGAAGAACACTCTATAAATGTGACAGATGATGGCGACCAATCTGGATCTGGTGAAGTAGGAGCTGGAACCTCTCATGAAGAACTTCCTACAGATATTGACAAAGATATCATGAATATTTCAGTTGAAGATATATTACCGTTGCCAGTTACTACACAAACTACTCGAAAGGTCAACAAAAGGAGAGGAAAGTACGGATTTTTGAATAGTACACCCGAAATAAAAGCAGTAAAAGATCTAGTCGCAGAAAAGGCTGCCGAAGCTTTGCGAAAATCTGCAAAGGCTGCTAAGAGACGTGTTCTTGTTGAAGGAGATGTACAGAACAAAAATGAAATTCCTGATAAACCCTTGAGAAGATCTGGTAGAGCTGTTCAGAAACATATTGTTGTAGGAAATGAAGATACGGAAGAAAGTAGCGAAGAAGATCCTTTTGCCGGAGAAGATGCCGAGAATGATGTATCGTGTATATACTGCAATGATTTGTATTCTCGTTCCCGTTCAAATGAATTGTGGGTGCAATGCCAAGAATGTAGGCAGTGGTGCCACGCAGAGTGTGCTGGTGCAGAAAAAAAATTTAAAACATTCATTTGTGATATTTGTAAAGCCTAAAATGTATCTATGCCATCTCATCCATAAGCGTATGGGTGAGATGGCACTCGTAAGATTTATTTTATGTAACCATAACACATGCTAGAAGTAATAAAACTTAAATTTTGAATGTAGATATATTAAGATCACATATCGTACTTCTTATTTCAATGTCTACAAAAGTTTAATATAAAAAAAAAAAAAATTTATAGTCTATTAAAAAAAAGTATGCCGTCTCAGGCATACTTCCCCTATATTTAAATCTGTGTTAGTACGACCTAAAAAATCCAAAAATTATTCATTCATTTCATTATTTTGCCCATTCGTGATTCAATATTATTTGATCTGGAATCCGGGAGTCCGTTTAGAGAGAAATATGTTATTCTGGATAAGTAGAACCCAAGAATAATTATTAGTTACCTACTCTTTGGTAGAACGGATCACTTGGGCGGCCATCTTGGATTTTATTCGCGGGCTTCTTATCACCTGCTTACCATTGCATATGTGCTTAGGTACTAATAAATACGAATCTCCGCATTCATCCGACGCCCCGTTTACTCGCAATTCGCGTTTGAAGTCAAACTTCACCATCAGTATTCTATTTAGGCGGATTTCGCTCAAAACCCTCCACAAAATAGTACTTATTAAATTTTTGAGTCACTTATCATATCTCGAGCTTCTGTTGGCGACACTAGAAAGAGCACCACGAACTGATGCAGCTATAATAAAAAAATATATACTGGATCAAGTCACTAAATCACGATTTTTTGAAATGTTTGTACCTTCTCGACTCCATAACTCCAAAATTATTACTTTTGCTTAAAAAAAAGCAACTTTTCGCTACGAGTTACAGTTATTGAGATACAATCGAAAAACTAAAAAAGAGGCACACCCCATCCATAAGGACTTTTTATGTTCTTGAAACACCAAGGAACAACGGTACCTACCAATTTTCAAAACTCCAGGTTTTTTTCCTTCGCTTGTCGATTATTTGTGTAATTTACCTAACTGGGTCTACTAATATCTGATTTGCAAGACATAGTGTTTTTTTAAACCGCAATTTTCCCTTAAAGACTCGGTTAACAGGATATAAATCAAATATTTACCTTAAATTTAACCAAGTAGATAAAACGACTCCTCTTTTTTGTATGTGGACTGCTAGAAAGATGACTCTCCCCTTATTTTGGAGTGACATGGATTAAACTGGATGTCTTTATTGGACTCCATTCTCGTAACGGAATCGCTGCTTTTTTAATGAAAGATTTTCCCTCTTCAGAGGTGTGATAGTGGATGTCTAGGTTGGCGTAAGCATTTGCCTGAGGAACCGTTCAAAGGCAACGGAGGTGGGTCCTAAAACTGAGTAATACCGTTGACTGTAATATACCTAGTCCAGTAGGGATCAAAAAGGGGTGTTTGCATGCAAAAGGTGGGGTAGTAGCGATTTTTTAGTATGTAGTTAGAATTGGGGCCCTAATGAAAAATCCAAGTTTTCGACCTCGAGGCGCATGCGCTCGAGCCGCCATCTTAGATTTTAGGTACAAAAATTTTGTTTTTTGATAATAATTCAAAAACGATGGCTTTCACGACAAAAGATGTTCTATACAAAGATAAAGAGGAAAAAATTTCCTACATTTTTTGTAGCACATATATGTTGGGAGTTACAGCTCCGTGAAGCACTATTTGAAAAAAAAAGTATTATATTTTGTTATTTGGCTGTTAATAACTAAAATAAATAATTTAAACAAATGCAAATCATATTAGGTATTGAGAGAGGATCATAAATGACCTTCAGTGTATCGAATCTGTATGCGTCAGTCTGCTTATTGTCTAGCTTGCAGAACGTTACGCTGAACGCTGTTATAATGGAAAATCTGCTGAGAGAATATATTCAGCAAGTATAGTCTCAAATACGAAGACCTAACCTAGTACATTCTGTTATAACATGCCTTCAGTGGTTGTGACACTCCGTCATCCCTACGCTATTCAATCAGGGAAAAACTAAATTTTGTACTCTGATAGAAAAGAACAGAGAAGAATTGGCGCAACTCCGAGCCTTTAGGACGTACCACCAAGTACAGAAATGGAGAGGTATAGAGAAAAATCCTGAAGACTGGGGTTGGAAGCATGGTGCTTACGGGATCACTCTCATAACAATGATGGAAAAACCCTAGGAAAAACCAGCTCCCGCTTCCTTATTAAAATCGGTATCTGCAAAAAGGGGTGCGATGGGGCATGCATCTCCCGAAAGGCTGGACTTAAATGTTCGGTTGTATGTGGCTTTTGCAACGGAGAATCTTGCGGAAATATGCCGAAAACCCCCACGCAAAGCGAGGACGAGGATGACGACATTTTTCAGGCTATACGGACCAAAACACAGACAACTACGACCAAGACACCGACAATAACCAACCCGGACCATCGAAACGTACCAAAATGTACAAATTGATTTTTGTAACGCTCTAAAATCATAATTTACTGTTCTTAAATTTAAAAAAATGCGATATACCTATAACACCTTTAACTTTGTTTACGAAAAGTATAATACTGTTAAATGATAATATGCCTTTTAGTTTTTTTTTATAATTATGTAAAAAATATATATAATAAAAATAATAAAATAAAACTCAGCCGTGATTATAATTTATACACTTTTACTTTTACTTGTATTTTTATTTTTGTTTGCTTTCCTCTCTTTGTATTCAAGTATTAATTTGTTCCTGAGTGCTAGCGTAATTTACAATTTATATTTTCTTTTCCTATAACGAGTTGGGGTTACATGGAAGAACAGGGTTGTCAAAACACTGAATGTAGTCCCATTTCCCGTATACATTATGTGTTACTCATTTATATATATTATATATTTTATACTTATTTGGTTTTGGTATTACGTGGAAATAAATGTCATTATTATTATTATTATTATTATTACTATACTATTAGAGTGATTAATGCATACCTAATGCGCCATCGTGTTTCTTACCTTCACTCTTCGCGTCGACTAGACGTTTCAAATAGATAAGACGATGCGTACGACGTGTGGAAAATATCAGATCGTCTTGACCAACAGAAATCGTGCTTTATTGCTACCCTAACACTTTTCTTCAAACTCTGATAAGCGCTGTTGCAGTATGAAGTGTTTCAACCGTTGTTCTTTCGGAACAATTTTTTTAATGAAATTTGTGTTTATATCGCGCTAGGTTTGCAACATAACTACTGACATTCCTTTTTCCCTTTCAGAAAATGGTTTGCACAACCATTCGGCCGACCACTTTACCATACCCCGAAATCGAAACGTGGGAGGACTGTTCGTTGTTTGTTGGAGACCACTTCAAATATGAACCTCTTGAAGCTCCTACACTTCTGGTAAGTTTTTCCTTTTCTTATGCGCACTTAAAAAAATTAAATTACGATGTGGCGAATGCCGACAGGAGTGATTACTTTTTATCGTTTAAGTTGAGAGATTCCCTCTCGCCTCAAATTTCGGCTTACCTACCGCTAAACCACGTGTCGATTCGTATAAATTAAGTATTTCTTAGTTTTTTCCATTACGACATTATAACTGTCATCGTTACTTTTAATTAAAATAATTTATACAAAAAGTTATTGCATAAATTGAATAAACGTCTTGTAAAAAAACGGTGGCGGTTAGGTTCGAACCCGCGTCGTCGACCGAATCTCATCATAAATCAAAATATATACTCTCTCAAAGAAAGCCTTACTAATTAACTTAAAATTAAAACGAAAACTTCCTTTTTCTAACTGCGTTAATACAAAAACCACATACAAATATGATTTCTATGTCTAAAAGGACTCGGTTAATACTGAACTCGTACTCACATTGACAGTACGCACATTTATAGGACGGATTTCACTATTTATCATCGGCATCGATATTAAAACTTCAACTACTCATAATTCAATTTGCCTATTTATATAGCAAACAATTAAGTTCGAAAAATCTAGAAGGCATAATTATCATATTTCACAGGAAGAATGGGTCACATCCGCTTCCATCCCTTATCCATCGCCTTAATGGCGCATCGAGAATGTTCTAGAAAGATCGGTACAGTAGTATTAGGCAATTTCCCGTCGCCCGCCTTCCCAACTACCCTAATGACGTATTCGGCTAGTTTTGATTGCAAATTCTACCAAAATGTTATTAGTAAATTCAATATATCTCGGAAATGGCAAAAGGGAACAAAGGACATGGGGGGAATGCACTTCTTTATAATTGTTTTCACATACCTACACATTTACTAGGTACTTATGCAATTATACGTACCTACGGCTGTATCAAAAAAAGTTTGCTACACACATGCAGCATCTACCTAACGCTCAAATTGAAGTATGAGTACATTCAGAGGTTGTACATACATTCATTATAACTAAGAAACCCCTTGTTTCATTTAATGTTTGCAAAGTTGTCCTTCAAGTCATCCCTTACATATCAAAACTATACACACGTAAATTGAATGATTATGTGATTTATTGAGAACACCTCGCTTCATCCTGTTTTACATTTATATGATCCTTCGACCGCACACGATCTGTTGTAATTACCTCACTCCACTCTAAAGAATAGAATCTTATAACAAAGGGAGAATAACGCGCAACATTCGCAAAGGTGAATCCAAAAAGTTTTATCTGCTCGTGGGAAATTTATCGCTGATAAATTTCGTCGTTGTCGCCCAACGAGGAAGACCTAAAATTCCGTGTCAATTTATCACAATGGACATATCAAATCAACATCTATAAATTAAATATCTGTTTAGGATGGTCCAAATGATTGTATAAGATGGGTTATAAAGGAGCAGAGAATGAATTATTACGTATTAAGTAGGTAGTAAGTTATTTACGAGTTTACGAGCGAAGTCACTGGAACGAAAGGGAAATTGGAATTATTGTTGAAAAATTAGAATAGGCGTTTTTAAATAGTTTCTTGTTTTTTATGGGCGTTTAAGAGACAGTTTGGAAGAGGCAATAAAATATCGACGGAATATAATTTATTGTTTGGCACAATTTCGTAAATTACACTGTGTGAACCTGGCTGAACGGTCGGTGTTGGTTTGGGGTGGACAGGCAGGTCGCGGTCCGCGGCCCACCGGATAGACGCGCGGTGCAGGGGAGACGCAGGGTTCGCGAACTACCTACCCGCGTTCTACTCAGCACGTAAACAGCAGCCGCCGGGGTCCGTGTGAAATTACCGGGAATGTATCGGTCGGGCCATTAGTCGAGCCTGATGTTTAAATGAACAGTAACAAGAGATGCTACTTTACCACCCCGGTTAACAATTCCTTTCTTTGGTCCCTCGTGACGCACTCATTACAAACCGTCAAGTTCTTGATATTTCAACCTGCTACTACGATCTGCCATAATCTAATTTGTATTTGAAAACGCGACGTATATATTCACACCAAACCGGGAATTTGTATGTATATCGGCCGTGATAAGGGACGAGGACGAGGGCTCTTCCCTGGGAGGGAAGGTTTGCTACGAACACAATGAATATACATGAATACACGCATACTCCGCGTATCAAAGTGACCTCGCGCTATTGTCTCAATTTTAGAAATAGTCGTCATCGCACGCCGCCTTTTTGTCTTAAACCGCAAACGATCCACTAATTAGGCTTAGCCTTCACGACTCGGAGATAAATTATACGCAGCCATAAGCAATTCCACCCTAATCAAACTGAAATTGTATCAGAAACTTTTAATTCTTTATACATAACATTTAATCAACGAAATATCGAATTGAATAAATCAAACGCAATTTACAAATAGGAAACACGATACCTTAATTCTATGACGACGGGTCAGATGAACTTTTTTAGGTAACGAGAGAATACCTACAGAGAACATTGTGTCCTTAGTAAAAAATAAATTAACAAATGTTTCGTTTGCGTCCTTATTTTTGTGCTAATCTCTATATGTACCTATAAGATATTTTTCCATACAGGAGCCATTGTCATAATGAATCTTTTACCAAAGCTTCAGATCGATACCACTTCCTAGGTACAAAATCTGAGAAATCTGTTAGGAAAGTCATCCGGTCTATACTTACATTTTGGCTGGGATCAATACTTTTTGAAGGGATTTACTAATGGTCCGCTTATTGAACCTTGTGGTACACCACTCGCAAGTGTGCGAGTTCGTTGATTCAGTTTAATTTTCCGTAAGGACAGAACTAGTACTAGTGTACGTGTATTGATCAAATAAATAGATTCAATGAAAAGAAAACAATCGAATTGCACAACAAAAACAGAACTGCCGGCTGGTACCAATGCTGTTTATCTCCGACTACGCAAAACACAGAGGAAAAAACCCATGTGGGAAAGTTCCTTTAAAATCTAAGAGTAGGTGACATGACTAGTGACCACTATCAATAAATTTGGAAAACGGCCTACAACGTCATGGAAATGAGACCATCGACACTGCAGAAAAAAACAGTATCTAAGGACGCCACTTCCCAGATTCCTAACCAGAAGTGCTGGACTTAAAGAGGTAGGTATTTATTTTATTTTTTTTTATTTATTTTGCCTTTTATTTTTGAGTGGGCGGGGTTTCAGCCAAGGCTGCTCTACCAACCCAACCCACTATACATTTACAAATATCCATGCCCGAACCCGGATTCGAAACAGGGACCCCGGCACCACAGTCCAGCTGCAACTGAACTGCGCCACACGGGCCGGCCGGTACTACCCCCCTTCCACCACCTGAAAATTAATTAAATGTCGCCACTAAAAAAATGGGGTAGTAAGTACACCCCAAAATATTTACAGCCACCCCAAACCACAGTTTACATACTGGAAAGCGTAGAGCAGGACTGCCACCTAGCTGCTATGCGTTGGGTCGACCGCAAATGCTCTCAATAGCCCAAATAACATCTGAAAAAATCACAAATGAAGAAATAAAGAAAAACGAAAGCCAAACTGGCTATATCAGCCTACATGTATAGAAAATCAAAAAAATCAAAACACCTTCCTGGAGCTACCGTTACACAATTTCCTAGTTCAAATGATATATTACACATACACATACGGTTCTTCAGTTTGTTTTGGTAAAACACTGTAATAAATGGTAAAATAATTATTTAATTTTCGAGAGAGCACATCTCTAAATCAATTTTAAATAATTTATAGAACTATACTTATCGACATGGAATTATTATTATTATTATTATGGTCCCACTTTTAGGTGCATATCTGCGGAACTATACGGGTTTAAGTGTGCTGGGAAGCACCGATAGTATGTGAAACGAATTCCAAAGAAACAGTGTGGCAAGCACTACGCTCTATAGCCGCGTAGAGATAAACCCCAGGTACTCGAAAAAGAGTTGCACGGGAGAGTTATAGTTTGTACAAACAAATTTATTTCGATGAGACCTTTCATTAGAATACCATGAAGGGCATGTGTTTACCCCCCCCCCCTCCTCCCATTTTCTAAAGTTTAACTTGGCACCATTAAAGGCATGCGTATGCAAAATCTGAGACCAATTGGTTGTCGTAAGTAAAAGTTATGCACGTTTTACTTTCAAATACAGCATCTCAGGAAATAATTCGTGGGGGGGGGGGGGGCCCTTATAGACAGCGACATTTGATGGCCGTCTGGCACACCTCAAGGTATAGCAAAAAATTCCAGGACTCTAGGACCGTTCCCCTAGAAGTAGGGGCCGGACGGACTGACGGACAAAACGCAAACAATAGCACAAAAATGCGCTAATAAAATTAGAATTGCGAATGTGGAAATTCCACTTTTATTTGTGGAGCAATTTTTTTTTAATTTAACAGAAGATGCTTCTTATTAAAGAGAAAAATGAAAACGTAAAACCTATATCTGAAAATGGATTGCAAGTGTGGAAATGCGCTTGTGGTAAATCGTTTACCATTACTTGTTTTACTCGCACACCTTTCACACCCTGTATACTTGCAGTTGCACCTTTCCTTGTTAAGGTCACCCTTTGCCCTTTGGTGCCAGTATGTGTTCACATTTCTATTAGACAACATACATATGCGTATTTTTTCAGGCTTGCGATTTAAACCTTAAACATTTAAACCTTGAAACTTCGTTGTGCCATCGCACAGGTAAACCTTTGAACTTAAGGTATGCATGAATACTAGATAATTTACTCAAAATACAAGTGGTCACTAAAAATGCATGAAATTCACTTAAATGGCATTGAGATAATGCGTTTGGACGTTTTTCCAACAAAATTGATGAATAAATGACGAGTTTGACATCATCGTCCGGTCGCTTGCAGACTGAGCCATGCTGAATAATAATTATTATTCAATGGTAATACCGATAATCCGAAGACTTTGTGACAAATCGTTACTGAGATCTCGAGCAATTTGTAAAAGGCGTCCGACAGGGCGCAAGATATTGAACATGTAAACTCTCCTTTTAAGGGCCCCAATCTGAGTGAAGGTTTAGAGGACACCAGAAGAATTTTTGGGATGGAAAGTGGTGGTAATGTTACGATCCAGACTTGTCTTTGCCTGTACAATTTTGCCAAAGTGACTGTGTATTGAAATGCGGGCAAAATACTTATCCGGTATTTTTTAGTGCATTTTAATTTTTAAAAAATGTGCAATTGTTTGCGTTTTGTCCGTCCGACCGGAATCACTTCTCCGGTTTTGAACTATTTTTAGGGAAATTGTCCTAGAGTCCTGGAATTTTGTTACAATAGGTAGCCTATACCTTGAAGGTGTGCCAGATGGCTCCCTCGCACATGAATGAGATACTGTTTTTGAAAGTAAAACGTGCATAACTTTTATCTGCGACAACGAATTGGTCTCAGATGTTGCATACGTATGCTTTTAGTGGTGTCAAATAAAATTTTGAAGATGGGGAGGGGGGCACGTTCTACCCTTCATGATATTCTAATGAAAGTTCTCACCGAAATGAATTGGTTTCTACAAACTATAACTTTCCTGAGCGACTCTTTTTCGAGATGAGAGGATAGCGGAGGAGGGGAGAGGGTAGAACTAGATTTTAGCTTTCATGGTATTCTAATTAAAGGTCTCAACTGAGGGGATTAGGGGGGAACGGGTTTTATCCTTCATGGTACTATAAGTATATTAAAGGTCTCGACGAAAGGAATTAATTTCTAGCATTCATACTGATACTCCTCCTCGACCTCTTATCGTAATCGGTTCACATTCCTTATATTTCAAGAGCGGATTGTCGGAGGAAGGTACTCACAAAGGGCGATTGGAACGTTTGGAAGAAATATATCCATTGATGATGCCAATACTTTAAATGCTACTATTTCGAAAACGGTTTATCGCAGGAGAGTACCCACAAAGGCAAAATGAATCGTCTGGACATATCTGTGATGCAAACACGTTTAGTGCAAATACCTACAGAACGGAGTGTCGGAGGAGGGTACTCACAAAGGGCCGAAAAATCGTTTCAACGAGACACAATCTACTGGCGGTGTGAAAACTTAAAACTTAAAATAAACAAGTATAAATTGTGCACCCGATCACGATAAGAGATCGAGGAGGAGGGCTATGGTTGGTAGAAATTAATTCCATTTGTTGAGACCTTTCATTAGAGTACCATGAAGGATAAAACTAGTTCCACTCCCCCCTACCCCTCCACCCCGTACTTCGATGAGGTCAGAAGGAAGGGCAGTAGTTGGTAGAAAACGGTTCCTTTCGTTGAGACCTTTAATTAGAATACAATGAGAGATAAAATTAATTTTTAACCCCCTCCTGTTAAATGATGCGCTAAAAAAAGTTTGGTTTTATTACTCGTAGGTTGAAAGGTACTCAAATACTAATTTTCGTCATCGCCATCTACTAGTAAATATTTTTCGCTCGAATATTCATAATTTTACAAAAGGGTTGCGAATTTCAAATTAAATTAGTGTAGGTACTTTCAATTTGCACTATGGTCGGAATTCGGAAAGTAATTTTTTCGATCTTTATTCGTGCATAACTTTAATTTTGTGAGAATAGTTATTGTGTGCGTCTTGTTATTCTTAGCGCATTTATTTATTTATACAAATGTAATTTTCATCCCATTTTGACCGGTTAGCTGGCCGGCTGGCTGGCAGGGAAGGCTCGTAGAAGATCGCTTTTACAAAGGCAATGAGTGTTTGTGTACCCAGTGGCAGCGCAACGGGGGGGGGGGGGGGCGAGTGCCGTCAGTTCTGGGGGCACTTTTCGTCGAAACTTAAGTTGATAAAAACTTATTTGCACTCTACGATGAGCAAAAGTCTCCCAATGTTGTTATAAAAGAAAAACTTTTTATTGCAGTTTTGGACTTTTGCGCTGTTGCCACGTTTGCGCAAGTCATACGCCAAAATTGACATCGTCGATCTATGAATTTGGCGGCAAAGGGAATGTGATAACCCCCGACAACATCTGACTGATGGTTGGTTGAGTCAAAACTGGCTAATAATAATAATAATGTTTCATTTTAAAGGGTCGCAACTCGCAAGTGTAGTTTTAATTAAATTTCAGTGTGTCGAACCCTGCAGTCGATTTTAGCCAACTATTACACTTTCTTCTCTTCAATTAAAACCTCGACATACTGCCCTAGAGCGTTCGGCGCTCTCGCGTAGACTGGACCCTCGCGCCCTCGGTACTGCTGCGACCTCAGCGCGCCCTCGCGCTTTCGGGCGGCGGTGTCATGACTTCTTCGGTACCTACCTAGTTACGCCACTGACCAGGATTTATGCCATTCGGTATGTTGCCCCAGATTACGTTTGGAGTGCCCAAGAAGTGATTCTGATGGTTATTTATTATTATTCGTTAGGAAAACGTTCGAACGCTCCATTCCTGCGGTAACTATTTTGTTCAAAAGACATCGGTCATCATTTAGACTATTTCGATTCGCAAGAAGACAATTTGTATTTTTGGCACATCCAAATTAGTCACAGAATGTCTAGATCCAGTAGAAATAGTACAATGTTTAGTTTACATACGAAACAATACCAAGTTAAAATGCGGTTACCCTTTTTATTTGTTTTGTTTAATTTGGTTGTTGGATTCAGATTTAAACTTTTAGTCAAGATTGATTTATTTCATACAATAAACTTTCATCATTAGATTGTAAAACTGAGAGACAACTTGTATATCGATTTGCATATCATTCATGACTGCTTTATGAATCAAAAAGGGGTGTATAAGTTACTCAATTAGATTTCCGTTTTTGTTTGCATATACTTTCAGTTAATTTAATTTGACCTCGATAACTTTATCAAGGCATAAATACTTTGGATAAATAAATAAGTTCAATTTAAAATTCTTTGTGCAGCGACCACGTTAATAGCACAAACCTGTTGCTCGTTTGCCTTTCATAGATTCATTTATTGGCTATTTTCCTTTTATTCGCCGATCGTTGATAAAGAAATAAATTACCTGCTTTGGCAATTAACAATAAATGCACGTCGAATTGAGGGTATTTATGCGTATAGTTGGTTTAAACATGCATGGTAATGAAGCGCAAGCGAGCGATGTTAATTAATTTGTAAATCGAGATAATTGACATTGTTTACAGAATTTTATGTCGAATTTGGCTAAGCGCGATTGTTATCGGCGCGCTTTGAATTTTAAAGTCGGCGATTTGCATACATAATTTTGTTCTTGACCTCTGAACCAACATCGGGAATAACGCGCTTGATGTATTTGGCGTCTTCGAGCCGCATTTCGGTGGTTCGTCAAGTCGCGCGATGATTGATGAAAGTACGCTTGGTCGATTGTAACGGATGGCTGGTGGGGAGGGGGTGAGTTTTCAATTTTAAAACACTTCAGCTGGTTATCAGCTGTTGTTCCACGTGAGGTCTGGCGTTTCGCGAATTAGAAAATTTAGCTGCGTAAATGCGTCTTCGCGCAAGTGTGTGTGCTACCCGGCACTACCGGGGATGGGAGGGTGTCACGTCAAGCCATCACGCGGGACCCGCGAACCTCCCTGCCTACCCTGCTTGCTTGTGCTCAGTTCGCGTTCGTCCGTCGCACGTATTGATCGACTGGACAAAGGAACTGACCACCAGTTCACTTTCACAAGAAGCACTCGCCAACGCCGTTCGATTGTTAATTAATATTCGCAATATTTAAAAGTATTAAATTCGCAAGCGGGTAAAATGCAGCGCGCGCCTGCGTAAAAAACACACTGCGGCTCTACTCAACGTGTTGCATTCGTCAAAAGTTGCGGAAGTTTTGTTTGTTTGTTTGAAGTTTTGAGTGTACTCCAAGTTTTTTCGAACTGCGCACTGACAGCCGTTTTCATTGGTTGAACGTTGTATTGCATATAAACAGTAGCACGTGGTTAATTTAATTGAGTGCAGTTTACGTGAACGTTACGCGCGTTTATCTTCAAACTTTTTTTTCATTTATTCACGAAGTTGTCCCACGAATATTTATGCAACTCGAAATCGAGAAATAAGAATGTCGTCGAAAGCAGGAAAACGTCCTTTGCGATCCTTGACCGCTCATGAGAAATTGGAAGCAATTCGGCGAGTTCACGATGGAGAGAGCAAAGCGTCCGTCGCCCGCGATATTGGCGTTCCGGAATCGACCCTTAGGGGATGGTGTAAAAACGAAGACAAAATTTCCTACCTGTCTCGGCAGTCCAGTCCCGATACTGACGAGTCAGCGCCCGCGGCCGAGCTTAAAGAGAAAAAGCCAAAACTGGAAGACGTTCTACAGCCATACAATTTAAGCATGAAAACAAACGGAAATGCCCATTCGCCAGTCACGGATTTTGCTAAAGCGGACTTCGACGCCGGCAAACCCCTAAATTTAAACGTCAAAACTGAATGCTTCAAATCGAGTACGGCGATGAGCGAGAGGGAGAGAAATAGAGCGGAACTGGCGCGCTTAAGTGTGGAATTAGGGTTAAATCGACCCGAGATGTTCCTGCCAAATATGAATAGCGGGGGCAGCTTGACGGATCTAACGAGCAATATAGGTCTTTTAGCACAATGGAATAGTTTAATTGCGCAGCATCAGCAGAAATCCAAAAGCAATACTAAGGTAACGGCACCCGCCGATACCAGCACAAGCAGCGTCGGTGCCTTCTCGGGGGTCGGCTCGACGCCACCCAAAGCCGAACCCGAAACCAAACCTAAACCTCCCAAACTGCCCAAAATGGAAAACCCAACAAGCGTCGACGAGTCCGTGTGGTACTGGCTCAAATCGCAACCTTCAATGCTGGGGCTGATGCAGAATCAAAACGGATTACCGGCATCCAGCACGTCGACCACCCCAACCGTCACAAGCTCAACGGTGTATAACGACACCAGGCCCTCGGACCAAAGCTCGTGGTTTTGGAAATGGTATAAGCAATTCGCAAACTCCTACCCCGTTCAGCAGCACCTACCTGAAAAACCCATTCTCTACCAGCAGTTAACCAAAGACAAAGACGGCTATAACAGCGAAAACATCACGGTGGACGACTACTCACTGAAAAGCAACACAAAAGTGCGGGCGGTGCTAGATAATTTGTTGTTTAATAATAATAACAATAATAGTTTAGGTTTATCAAAAAAGGAAGTGTTAACTCAGTCCGAAGCGCTGGAGCACGGTGAGAAGTTTCTTGAGTGGCTCGAGTGTTGTAGTGAACCCTCTGTTACCGCAGTGCAAATTATGCAATTCCGATACCTGTTAAGTAATATAAGGAACGGATCCTATAGGAAAAATAGTAACTTACAAAATAGAGCCAAAGTGAAACGTAAATAAAAAGCTACAACCAAATTGATTATACATAATTAAGTTGTCTATGTAGTTTATGTAAAATTTTATGTCGGGTATATTGTTCTAAAAATGCGTATTTTTAGAATGTAACGATAGGTTTAAGATTTTGATGAAGTTACCTAAGAATAATATTGTATTGATACGTAGATGTATATTTTTTTGTGATTTTAGTTCGAGAACTCGTGTGCCAAATATTTCCAAACTGAAAAATTGACAATTCTAATTTGCTCAAACCCATTAATAAGGATTCCTATGTAATGATCTCGCCGTTAATTACCAAAGGGTTTTCTTTTGAAACTTTTAGAAAATACGGTTTTCGTTTGTCGATAAAGAATGTACTTTTAGTTTTGCGAAACATTCATGTGCGTATGATCTCTGTATACAGGGTGTTAATATTGTTGGATACGTGTCTTTAGTTTTGCTTATCCGCTCTGTATACCTTTAATTCGCCTACCTGATGTATTATATAAATTTACAATTATATAAAGTTAATATTTTTGTACGAATTTTTCGATTAATAAATTTTTCTTTTGATTAATTTTATTTGAGACTATTTCACTTGATGCGATCGAAAACTAAACGAGAGCTACAACTGCAATACACATATTGAAGATAAATGTATACTCCTTTTCAAAAGATGGTGATAAATTGATAATTGTTAGATTATTACTCGTAGAACTAACGTTTATTATAAAGACAAAGGATTAATTTTTATACCTATAAGGACAACTATTACCACGATCGAATAACGCGGGTATAATCATAATTAATTAGGTTTTCCTGCAGTTTTCCTAATTCGTAAGGTAAATATGGGGTTGTATAGAACAACTGAAGACCTTCTGCAGGGGTACTTCTAAAATAGCTATTTGTGTATTAAGAGCGCAAAATGATATATTGTCGATTGAAAGAGACAATCAATTTGCCTTCGAATTACACACAAGATTTTTTCTACAATCGAGCAGTTCACATATTTTCAAAAAATTTAAATTGTTCACTCAAATGAAAGATGTAATTTACTCGTTATCATTGGGATACTATGAGCAACGCATATTTGATTTATGGTTAATAATTGGGAGAGCGAGCGTTTTTTTTATGTAGTCGCTTAAGTGTCATTCCTCGAAAAAGATGACGTTTGCGTTGCCAAATACGAGCGCAAATGTTTACTTTGGATATCGATTGCAGAAAAAAGCATTATGCGGGTCACTCTATAATTGGGCGTAAGCCTGTTGACTGTTGAGGGCCTAGAACAAGAGAGGCAATAAATAAATAAATCATTAGTCCGTACTTGACTTGAAGATATTCTTATATTTTGCAAAGAAGTATACATCTTTATATGTATTGCTGTGTGCACTGATCCATTGGCCAGAATGACCGTACACAAAACACCAAAACAGTTCTCAGTTAACCTGTTAACTTGTACCAGATAGTGGGTTAGATCAAATACTAACTCCAAACTGAACTTCAAAATTTTGAATAATTAAAATGGACCATGGGCAAGCATCAAATAAAAACAAGAGGTAAATTAGAAAATACCGTTGAAAAGATCGTTATGAATGAAACATTAATGTGAAAATTACAACAGTTCGATTTAATTTTAACACACAAAAGGAAAATGATAACACAAACAATTATTACAAATAGACTAAAATTATGGCTTCTTACATTACGTCATTACTTGTCCGGGAATTGTAATATCCAAATAAAGAGTATCCGTACACAGTATACAAAAACAATTACAATTTTCAATGAAATTTTACACTCACGACCGGGTAATCGCAGCATCCTCTCCTCGGGCAGACAAGGACGTTCCAATAAAAAACTCAACTTCAAATCGAGTCATATTTACACACTTATGGGGGCGCCGACAAACACCTCTTCTTGCAGCACCTTTAATGGCCAAAACTTCAAAACGTAGAACAATAACTAGCCGCGAATTCGACGGCTTCATAAACAACCCCCCCCCCCTCCCCATCCCGGTACTGAACATAGCAAAAATATGATTTTAATTTTCAAAGAAACGTAGTTGTGCGTTGAGTATGTCTAAAATTTCAATGAAACGCTTTTCTTGTTAACGTCCTATTTACGGCGAAACCCTTCTTCCGAAAATGAAAATTATAACAACCAATCATACATAGTTGACAACAAAGACTTTCCCTTCAACGTACGTTGATAGACCAAAAAATAGACGTCGAATAATTTTTATAAAAAAATTGTTATCAGACATTAAGAGATAAATCCAAACTTAAATTTTAGGAAAAATAAAATTTCATCTCTCTTAACTACACAGAAAAGGTGATAAATGACATCCACCTGTCAATTAAATGAAGCATTTACATTTGATAACAGATAAAAACCAAACAAAATTCCCACAAATTCTACGTTAAATAAAATAAAAATGTAAACAAAAACAACATTGACCGCTTTCTCGTATGACACAATAAACCCCATGTCGTTACATAGACCAACGACAAATTAAAAAAATTTAATTACGAATGTTAATTACACAAAAAAACGCCCTTGTATATCTTAATTAATATTTTCGAAAATTTCATCCTGCCGGACGAAATAAACACAGCAGTATATAAAATTCTATATACGTCAGTACGTGTGTCTATGACTGAACTCCTAAACGGCTGGACGGATTTTGATGAAATTTTTTTACGTGGCTCTGTGTGCTCGAGTGGTTTAGATCCACAATTGGGGCAGATAGGAATAAGGAATTCATATATCAGTCAATGTTTAGCGTCCGATGTCGTGGGGGGAAAATCTAGTACTGTTAAAAATTTGGACATAATTATGAAGAATATACAACCACGAACTAAAAAATAGAGCACTTTATAACACTATTTATAACCCATATTAAGAATATTAATTGCGTCGCGAATTAAAAAGAATGTGTATTGGTGTTCGGTCATCAATAGAAATAGGTAGGTACTATTTTTAGTTCTCACTCGTAATTAATATTTCAAATTTCCGTAATTATACGCACAGATGTAAATATGCTCACTATTGCCCATATGACACCCGCATGTACAGTGTACATACACAGAACGTACCTTATTACTTGTACAAGGAACGTCCATGCTAGATACTAGGTATGTTTTTTGTGCGCATATATGTAAAAGAATCACTAACGGTAAAGAGGATTAGGGGTATTACACCCCTTAATTAAACACTATACGACAATTTACAGTGGGCGTTTATTGAACAGTAACAATGGCTCGATACATTGCTCTATTTCTCGACCGTCTTTCTTGGATGTCGCGTACGAACACGAAGTCCTCATATGTGGGCCGCGCTCCTTCGCGCACCCCTTGGTATAATAAAGCTGCCTTAGCGAGCCGTAATAAAACGTGATGTTTTCATGTTTCACGAAGTTCCGCTTACATATATGACATCCAAACTTCACAACGTTGTACCTGTACTTTACACGTACGTCATTTGGATGTTTCATATACATACACAGTACATAAGTATGGACATTCACTGTAAAAAATGTTGTATGTAGGTACATAAAATGTACTTTTTTCGTACAAAATATAGAAGGCATAAATATTGATTATAGATAGTTGTTCAAATGAACAACTTGCACTTGTTTGGCCTGTCGGCTGTTTTTATCGCAGTTTAAGAAAAATTTAGTTTTATGTTTATAAAAATATTATTTACTTACTTCACTTGTTTTTATCAGATAGTTACTTGTATACGTATTTTTTAGTCACAATCAAAAACTTTATATGGAATGTTATTTCTGTTGTTTTCAGCAAATACCTAAATAAATAAATAAATAATTAAAGAATAACTTTAACGGTTTAGTAATAATATGCATAATATAATAATTGCTGTTACAATTTATGACAAATATTGCATACATTTCTCTACGGAATGTACTGGTAATATAAAAAATATACTATACTATACTATACTATACTATATTATATACCAACACTATTTAGTTTTGATAATTTTTATTTTTGCTTCTCTCTAAACACCGTGGTACCCACTTGGCAATGTTTGCTTCAACTTTTTTTATTGTTGTATTTTTGAAGAGTTACATAGACGCTTCTGTGGGAAAAATAAGAATGTGACACATTTAAAAATAAATGAAACTTACCTTAAAAAAATCATTCAAATTTAAAGTTTTAAAAGTCTGTTTTGTCGTCTTCCCATAAAACTGAATGTGGTTCCACAAAATTGGTTAGTAATCAATCGTACTGTCGCACGAGAAATAAACTCATACACATTGCTGCCCCTTCTCTGGGAAATTTTTTTTACCTACAAAAATAGTATATTAAGATACAAGTGTATAATCAAGTCTTTAAAGCACGCGCAACGAGTTTAAGGGCACGACGCAAAGCGGAGTGCCTTTAACGTTGCAAGTGCTTTAAAGACCAATTATACACGTGTATCTTATAGTATTTTTTATTATACCTGCAGTATAATTTAAAAATAGGAAATACAATGAAATCATATTGACGTTATACTCGAATACATGTCTAATTAAGTGGGCTGGGTGTTCGTAATTTCACGATTGCCATGGAAATGTCACTTGACGTTTGCTTATAAAAATCATCGGCTTTGTGAATTAAACGATTTCCGTTGAAAATGATAATACACCGTCCATTAAATCGATTGTTGTGAAATCTAAACAAACGTTGGTAGGTGTAAAATCCAACTCCAGTAAAGCCTATTATAAAGAATATGAAAAGTTGTTTCCATGGATGAATAGGAAGTTACTTACGAATAAAGTCTTAAATGCATCCGTTGGCATATATGAAGGAAATGTCAAAGGTATTTAAATCTTCTATATTTTGGTGCATTCATTCAAAACTTTAAAGCAATGCTGCGATTAAAAAGTGGAACAGATTTGGAAGCGTTTGTGAAAGCTTCAACCAAAGGATAGCCAAAGAAATGTTCTGCATTTACAGAAAGCGACCTAAAAGGATTTTTTTATTTCATCCAGATGACAGTTTCAAAAGTCATACTTGAAGTATCGTTACTTAGCAACTTTAAAGCACGTGTGTTTTAAAGGCCCTTTTTCGCACGCATTTGAGTGTTTAAAACGGAGATTGTGATTCAGGTATAATAAAAAATTAAGTTTTATACAAATACAATATAATTAAAAATTATACAGAAAGACTGTATCAAATAAGGCAAATAACACTTCCTTCTTACCTATATTTTATAAGATGAGGAGCAAATTGTATTACATACTTTCATTTCGAAAATTTGTCTAAAAACATTACTCTTATCGCTTTTTCCATGTTTGCTGGATTGCTCAAATAATTTTCCAATTCTTCGAAATGTAAGTCACATGGTATTGTCTGGCAAATTCTGAACATTTGTAAATAATGAATCCATTTCGTCAATCTCTACAGCCGCTACGTTATTAACGATCCTTGAGATCGTTTATAAGTTTGAATTGCTGTCTGTCTGTCCGTGTGCATGATAACTTTGTGTAGAAACGTCCGATCGCTTTGAAAATTGATATACATGTTCTTCAGGATATAAGAAAGATCGCTATTGTTTTCGGCCAAAAAATTACA